CTTCCCCAACCCCTTAATTTTCAAATGGACGAATTAAATAATTGCATGTATTTGTCTTTTTATTTGAACTGTGTCAGGACTCAAAAGGGCAGTGCCACGATCCATAAACTTTTTATTACCCCAGTAACGTCCAAGGATTTTGTGCTGTTATCCAAATTTTAGGCACATTTTTACATCGCTAAATACGATGGAAGGTCTTGATCCACCGCATAGATTATGTACAATTATTTAGGTAGAAAGTCAAAGGCAGCAATTAAAGTTCATACACAAGAAATACTATTTTGTTGTAGCCGAACGCACAAAGGTTAGGATCTCAAATGATAGTGCCGTGAAATATTTATTCTTGTTCTCCTCCTAGTCCGCCCCTCAATACGAAAGGACCTCGCCATCGTGCTGCTTTCAACCGTAGCACCAGGTGCTTGTTCAGGGTCAGGTGAGCTTCGACATCTTTGTCTCGTGCCACACTAATCACACATCATAAGTTAGCTAAACTAATTGTTGACATAATCATCCTCATTATTTTACTTGAGATGCCGAGTTCTTGACATAAACGAGCACACCCAAATACTACACCCTTGATCGTGTGTAGATATGCTTGTTGTTTTTTGTAGATAGCGGTCCGCGAAGCAATAAACTAGAACCATTCATATTGAGCTTACGTGCCCACGCTGAATGATACACGAGAGAATCCCTCTTTATCATGCTCTGAAAGGAACTATCCATACCATCCTTATTCGTCATTTAGCTAAAGTTTGAACAACATAAGTAAATGTATGTTGGCTGCTATCTGATTAAGATCAAACACAAGGTACTCGTCCAGTTTTATAGCACCCGACTTGATTTATTGCGAAAAATCTGTCCAATGGCTTTTGTAACATTGTCTTTTTGCGTGACCAACTAAATGATTATGTTGAAAGGGAAAAATAAAACGCCCCATTGTATCATGAAAATATAAATCCCCCACCTCCCCGTATGCTTAAGTTATTTTGATATCGATAAAAACAAATCTTTTTTCATCTATCAATTTTCATTTAAATGGCCACGCTTAGCCACCGCCCTGCAGGTTGAACCGCGTAGGGGGTTTAGCTGTGAGCAGTCTGGAAAAGAAGACACAAAAAAGATGTGATAGAGTCCTTGTATCGTGGTCCGCGGCTGTAAATGCAGACAATCAGTGCTGGTTTCGGAACAATTGATAGTATAGTTTATGCTGTCGTTTTTGTTTTCAATATTTCTGTTTTCTGATGTCACATTTGTTATAAATGCAATATCATTGCATCTGCTGCTATTTAATTGCCATTGTCGTTGTTGCTGCTTTAGCTGTGGCTGTAGCCGTCGTAGTATTGTTGTAAGTGATGCAAGTCGTTTCTGTTGCTTTTGATACTGAGTTCGCTAAATTTGGTGTAGTTGCTGCTGATGGAGTTTCTTTTGCTACTGCTGTTTGTTTTAATGGCGTTACTACTGTCCTGTGGTGTTGTAGGTACTACAGTTCTGCTGTTGTGTTTTTTGTGGGATTGGAAATATTTCCTGCTCATAAGATACAGTTACCTTGTCTTTTTAATCATCTAATAGACTTTCATGAATTAACTCTTCCTTTATAAATCATATACTGTAATTTCAGAAAAACTTTATCAGTGCTGATGGCGATGTTTTAGTGTTGCTACATGGATTAGTCGGTACTGTTATGATTTCTATCCAAGGACACAATATGGGATTGCAAAGTTCATGAGGTGATCACAGCACATATACTACATTCAATTTGGTGGAAGCATTTTTAGCCCATTTCAGTATGCATGTTATAATTGAAACAAACGAAAAAACTCTGTTTTAAAAGTTACAATACAAGCTTTAACAAGATTTTGTTGGTCTGTATCCTCCAACACTTGACACACGGCTCTCTGACGGTCACATCTGGTACCCCCATGCTGCGTTGTTTCGATGAGCTACAAACTACTTACCGTATACTTTTCGCAAGCCGAAGGGTAAAGCTATTAGTGAGTGTGCGCAAGGTTGGACACCGAACTATTAAAATGTACTTATCTGTCTTTGTGTCTGCGAATAACGCGGCTCGGTGTACCTCATACGTACTAAATAAAACCTTGCCTGTCCCCCTCATATGCCGATTAGCATGATAGGTGTCACTCTATGACTAGGTCAATACTGTGATGCACGCACCTGATTGGATTAAAAACGATCAAAGGTAAATATGATCACATAAGCAAATAATAGGCGCTCATAAGAAAAGGACGATCGCTTTGCCCATGTACAATAACTGTAATGTGTCAATACATACATTAAAGCATCATACTTATTCTTCAGTCACTGCTGTCGTAAAGTGTTCAGCGAATTGGTTCAGTTCTCCAAACTGAATTACTGATATCAAAAGGAGAGCGAGCTCTAGTGTATTGGGGTTACAAAAATGGTTGTAACAACCTGATTTATTGGTGTGGTACACACAGAAAGAGATTAGTATCACTGATAAGGCGTACTTTGGTGTCACATACGCCAAGCATTAATTCCGTCCCCATCGGTTATGTTTGGAAGATGTCTATCGTAAATGGGCCTTCATAAAGGCGACGTAGTTCTGATGTGGTACACAAGAAGAGCTACGTTGAAGACTATTCGATTAGGTGGTATCTTTGTAAGGCTAGACGCAACGAGGTTTATTGTTGCTATAAATAAGAAACTATATTCAGTTCCCCTTTAATCGGGTTTGGACACGTGTCTTTTTAAGACGTCTCTGGTCGTAAGAGTTAAGTGCCTGAGTCAAGGCTAAGTACTCTTGGGCATTAGTAATACGTGATACCTTAGGAGTCGTAGTCCCATGTACCAGGTAGAGAATCTTGAGAGCTTGTTCATACACTTAGAGTCAAATCTCACTATGCAGTGGAGCTGTACAGCTCTTAGTCAGAGAAAGACTTTTGACCCTAGAAGTCACTTAATTCTACGGAACTAAGTACCACTAAATACAAAGAGTCTCTAGCTCTTAAAACTAGTCAACAAAGACTCTTAGTGAATTTACGCTCGTAGAGCTTCTAGCCCTGGTTCAAGGGACTAATAACGGTTCTAAGGAATCGCTCGCACAAGGTGCTCTGTAGTCTACGCTACAAGATGGCTCTGACTCTATGTGATCTTTAGACGTCTGAAGGAGACACGTGGCAACAAAGAGGAATTGAACTTTATTTTCTGAGTTTTACCTGTAATTAACCTCATTTAACTACCTAATACTCAGGTTAAACTGATTCGCATAGTAATCTTCAGTCCATTACAGATGGAGATATCAATCAGTCATCTATTGATGATTAATGTCATCTACCACATCAACTATCACACAAAAACTTGGGAGGTATCTAACATATAAAGAGTATATCTCTTTAGGGCAAAACGGGCGCGTGACCCCGTGACACTCTAAGTCTGCAAGACTTGAGACCCTATAAGTTTATACCCGTCTAGTTCGATATACTAAGAGACTCTACGAGTCTAGGAGTCCTCTTCTGACAAAGTAGTCAGAGTGGCTCTTCTACATCCAGAGCTTGCTTCTCTAATTTGATAGATTAAGTCCTTCATCGAAGCATAATGTCTGTATACGTGTACCAACTTGGAATACGAAGACGATAAGCATTTTTCATATTTCTGATTATCTGAAGCACTTTTTAATTTTCCTTAAATTGGGCATTTATGTTTCCTTTAAAATAAATATAAAACAGTATTAATTATTCGTGAGTGATGGCTTATAAACGAAAAGGTGGTGACTGAATGACGTTTTCCTGATTAAAACCCAAATCCCAGCGCATGGGGTCTGAAATGCAGGAGGCTTGTGTCACAGCTAACACGTGCCAGGCGTTGCCCTCGGTGTTGCTCTTAGATGCCGCTTTCCATTGTCTAGAATCATTGCAAGACCTAGCAACTTCTTGTTCGCTTGACATAGAGAAGAAGGCTTAAGCACTGTAATTAAAGGATTATGTCATTACATGTTGCCCTTGTGCATCTGTCATACCTCTCTACAGCTCATGTTCATCTAAGCAGTTTCTTGCAGCCGAAGCTGACCAAAGGTAATAACACGACAGGCCCTAAGTCGTTGGCCGCCACTTCAACCACCGCAGCACGCTTCTTCATGCACATACGTACCTAGCATGAAACGACTAACCAAATCAGAAATAATGCAATTTCAGCACTTCTTATTTTGTGTGATGAATAGTTTACCACTGTGTACGACGATCCCGAATTTACCTGAGCCATCGGCACACTAAGCAATCGACTGGTGCGGGTAGCCACAACTTGCTCACACACGGATGCTGTGCGATCATCCGATAGTATTTCGCAGGAAACCGCGTTTCATGTACGATCGAATCACACAATTTTGCTGAGCTGGACAGATGGGTACAGGTCATGGTGCATGTTCTTAAGACGCCGCTGTCCACAAGAATAGGTCACAGCAAAGAAGTCGATCACAACAAAAGGGCACCATCTGAACAAAGTAAGCACCGCGTCCGAATCAAAACGACCAACGACCAAACATTCTTGCTGTGTATCCATCCAAACGGAGCACAGAAGGTGCTTCACACGGGTTGCACCTTGCCGCACACTGAACGAGAAGCTCCGCGACACATTTTAGTTCACACTTGGCGGTCGCTGAAAATCTAGTAAAACGATCGAATTCGACTGGATGCGTGATCAGACAACTCGACGTTCCAACGACGGTATTAACAAGTACGCTTGTGCAGTACGGAGATCATACGAGTCGCCGTCAGATTGCACCACCATGGATGGCCGGTTGTACAGAAGTGCTGTTCCGCGCCTTTTACTTCATCATGATGGGCAATGGCTATTTATAAAACCTGGCTGCCCTCTTTTTACTCAAATCCGCCGCTTCCTGCTATTTGCAGGATGATTTAAACACGTTGGCATGCTTGAGTCGCCAGGCGACGTCGCACAAGAGAAGAGCAATGAAGCCTGGTATGTCTGGACCGCAGACCAAGTCAAGCTTATCACGACGTCTCATGTCACTCCTTCTTGGGCTTCTGCGTTGACAACGCATCCAGCTCCTTGCCTCTCACGTACATGAGCAGCAAATGCCAGTCCATTACAAATAGTCCGAGTGCGATGATCACACCGGACGTCAAGCGCACAAGTATAAGTACCACGTTCAACACAACTGCAAGACCCAATTTCCACTTCAACGGAAGACTACGCAGGTCTGGGAAACTCTCAATGGTGCCAGTACAACTGTGCTCCGGTACAATAGTATCAAGAACAGGCTGAGCATCTTCAACAGAACCACCATCACAAACCTCGTCTCCATAGTCCGACTCCAACTCTGACTCATCATCGTCGTCTTCATCAGAGTCGCTGCCTTCCCTGTTGTCGGAGTCACCGTCAGCGTCGTAAGTCTCAATCGAGCTTGGCGGCGGTTGATCAGGTTGCATAGATGAAGAAGGCGTATCTACAGATGTTCCATTCACATGTGTTGTTTCACCAGACTTTGGCGATTCGTCTTCAAATTTACTGGAGTGCAAGTCCTTTCGTATTGCTGACGATTTTGCAGCCTTAACCATTGCTTTCTTGCTCTTGCTGCCACGCCGAGAAAGCTGCGCAGCCAAAATAGCAGTAGAGACGGCACTTTCCCACTCGCCGTACTCCACTTGCGACGAGGCGCAAATCTTCCAGCACTGTTTCTTAGTGCGAATGAGAAACATATACGACGTGGGCGCCGCATCCAAATTTAGACAGCTAGTGATGGCCAAAGAAGCGTGCTTGCTAGTCAAGTTTAGCTTTGCTGACGACAGCCCGCGATGAGCTGCAGCCTCCGAGTCGTAGTAGCGCAGCATGCACTTTCGTGGGTCCAGCACAAACCACTTCCTGTACCAATTTCGTCCATGGAAGTTCACACAGCGCTGGATAATGAGAAACCCGGCCTTTACTGGAAGGATGCCGCGACCAGAGTCTTGTTGTCCACTTGGGATTGACACCGCATGGACCGACATCCTGCGAGGGATCAAGTTTCGAGTTTTTCCATGCACAACGCCCTCCTCCTTGCCCCCATGTCCATGCACGAACGGCTTCGAAAGCAGTGAAATTGAAGAGTTTACCAGACGTCGCGGATCCATTGCATTGCTCCGTGTATGCTCAATAAAGCCCATACGACGAGTCTCCCCATCCCCGACACAAAAACTCGACCCGTCGCCAGCAATTTCCTTCAACATATAATCACGACTTCTCGTCCCACCCTCCTGATCGTCAAACGCAACAGCTTTCCGCCTCCGTTTCGTCTCTACCGTTTCCCGGTGCGGCTCCACCTCAGCCCAGTACATCAACACTTTGGCTTTGCTCCACGTATACGTGTTATCCCACGTGAGTGTGCACGTCCCAGGACGTGAGCAGCAATAAGAGCCCTTTACAAACTTCACGTCGGCTCCTTCGCGCGAATACGCGCGAATCACTTGTTCTTGAAACGTCGCACTGAACCCTATGTTGTGTTTCTTGGTCGCAAACTGCCACGACGCGACGTCACCCGCAGCTTCAAGAGGCAGCGACACCGAAAACGACTGACCAGCTCGGACAGTCACGGCCGTGCCCGGGCTTCTCTCGAGCCTCGTGGACGGCATGACCTCGCCATCATCTTCATCTTCGTCTTCGTCACTACTATCGTCCACGGCATGGCTCGTCTCCAAGAACTCGTGCAGCACCTGCGACGTCTTGACCTCTGGAATCTGCAGTAACCGCGTTAAGTACGACGTCAACTCGGTCCCTTTCTCGTCAATGTACTCGGGAACGAGTTTCTTCGTGCGCATGGCGGGGAACGGTCGTGGTAAGTGCGATTTCGGGTACGTCTTGACCAGCCGCGCGTGCATTGCCGACAGCTGTTTGTAGCTCCGGTGCACGAGATGCCGACGGGTCGTTGTATCTTCGCTAAAGTACGCTGCGATCGTAAACAGCACGTAGCAGCCGTTGCTGTCGGGGAGATAGCGCAGCGGATCGAGCGCTTTCTTCGTGGACAGAAGTCGCTTCTGGAGCTTGTGACCTTCGATACAACATGCGACAAGCTCCGGCTTGTGTCCCCTTGCTACGTCGTCAACCGTCATGCCGCACACGCGCTGGTTCGTTTCCCTTGCAGTTGATCCGTGCGCGGTGGGTGTTGCAAAGTTATGTACACGTGGCGTGGCAGGACCATCACTCTGTGTTTGTTTTCGGAATGCCAGAGACGTGACAGAAAGAGTCGGACCTGTGATAATCGCCTCGTTTCTTTTCTGGTGACCGTGGCGGTCCTGGCAGCAGCGGATGAGGTTTCACGCACCATCATTCCGCAATTTCCTTCGCGCGCCACACTTCAACATTTCCGAAATCTACTTTCGTGTGTCAAAATGATAGCCATCCTTTCGGCCGCCGACTTTCACGCCGCCGTCGCAGCCGCCACAGCCAAGCCTCTTGTGGTCTTTTTCACGTCTACGCAGTGCAGCAAGAGCGAAGATCTAGCGCCCAAGGTGGCAGCGCTCGCAGACGAGCTGGCCAAAAGCGCCGCGTTCGTCACCGTGAGCGCGGAAGAGCTCGACACGCTCGTGAAGGAGCTCCAAGTGGACAGTTTCCCGCACTTTCGCGTGTACAAACACAACAAGATCGCGGGCGACTCTGCGAGCTCCACGCTCGACGAGGTGGACGCGTTTATCCGCGGGCTCGTGGCGGTAGACACGCTCGGGACGGACGATGCGTCGTCCGTGCCTGAAAGTGCAGAGCAAAAGACAGTAGAGGAGGAGGAGGGGATCAGTGCTACGACGAAGGAAAAGGACGGGGAGGAGGAGGTGAATGGAACGTGTGACGCAGAGGCTGCGAACGGCTCGAAGAAGCGACAGGAGCGCGAGGAACTGGAGTCGAACGACGAGCACGAGGCGAAGAAGATCAAGACGGACGACGACGGAGAGGCTGAGACTGTTGAAAACGACGATGCAGTCACTGAAGAAGCCGAGACAACGGACGTGGCGCCGGAAGACGACGAGGCGCCAGATGGGACCGAGAAGAAGCGGGAAGAAGCTGCAGCTGTGGACAAGATCGAATCGAGTGCCGTGGCTTCTGCGTCGGACGTTGCTGCAGCCTAAGACTGGAGGAACGGACCGACAAAGTCGTGTGCCGAACGAGCCAGAAACTGGGATTGCGTACGCAGGACGCTCGGGTCTGTGGATGGCTGCATTGGTACATTACGAGCGTCAAGTTTAACAAAGGAAAGCAATCTACAATATTCGATGGGGTAGGGGTTTCCTTTTCACTGGTTACTGGTGTTCAGTACGTACAACATCCGGATCGCAAGTGCAACATTGCCCCTCGCCACCTCATCATGGGGGAACTACTACAGACGCGCGTAACTGTCGGTTTTTGTCCGTCTTGCTGTCGGCTCTCTTTGACCTCTAGGCGTCGACGTGCTTGAGGCAGTAGCTGTCGTACTGGTCGACCACGCTACGATACTTACTGAGCAGGCCTTGTTCTGTGAGTCGCACCTCAATGTCTTGTCTGGATTGGCCGTTTCGCAACCAGCTGTTAAAGGTTGCCTCGGCATGGCCCCGGTTGTGAAGAATGTCCTCGAGCACCTTCGAATCGATGGACTTGGAGTCAGACGTCTTTGGCTCGACCGCCCGCAGCAGTCGATGGCCTGCTGCTCTCGTTGTTGCTGTCTTGCTCCTTAGAGACTGCACGTTCATTCGATCAGCACTTGGGGCAGTGCCCAGTGAAGGAATCAGACCGGTAGACGTTGCCGTAGACTCGACGGACTGAATACCACTTCCAGCAAGAAGGAGAGCGGCTGCAGCGGGTACCCAGAAGACGGAGGTCGTCGCGCGCATGTTGACTGACGATGCGGTCGTGTGACACAAGAATTGCGGTCTGAATGTCTGTGACTCACTCGATGTCTGTGTGACCGACTAAGTACGACTGGCAGGAAAGAGAGTAAAAATAGACGCACTCGAGTGGAGTCAACTCGTGTCAAGCTACCGTTTGCTCGTACATAAGCCATCGCAGAGCTACTCCCGAACCTGATACCAAAATGGATACATACAAACGCGAAATGCATGGGTTAAAGCGTCTGGCTACACAATGATCGTCGATGTGATCATGTACCAGCTCATTGTTTCAGACGGACGACTTGGACCTGCACAACCTTGTCGCTCTCCTTGATAGCAGCGTTCACCTCCTTCTTTAGTCTCTTGTCGCTCTTCATCGACAACTTCTTGTCCCGAATCTGTTGCAGCACCTGGTCGACCAGGGTTTTCAGCTCCAGCTCTCCACCCGCGCTTTTCAGCGCACCTCTCACCAAATCGCTCCACTTCATGGACTTCTTGTTGACAGTCTTCCCTTCTTTTACGACGGTGTCGTCACGTGCCACTTCAGCAAGCCGCTTCTTGCCTTCGGTCTTTCCTTTTTTCACGACGGTGTCGTCACGTGCTACTTCAGCAAGCCGCTTCTTGCCCTCGGTCTTTCTTTTTTTCACGACGGTGTCGTCATGTGCCGCTTCAGCAAGCCGCTTCTTGCCGTCAAGCTCTTGAGCTACTGGACCACTAGCACTTGCATCGTCCTGTCCAACTGCACTGGCAGCAAGCGCCGTCTCGTACATAGTCCACACCTTTTCAACGAGCTTCGAGCTGTACAGGTCCAAGCTATTCTCGACAAAGTTGACAAACTTGTACTTCTTCCGAGGCACGTTGTCGTAGCCAGCGACGCGCGTCAAGACGTTTTGCACACGGCGATCCTCTGGACAAGTCATTGACTGCACGATCTCCATCCACCGCTCCTGTGGCGTCTGTTTCGTGTTGTGCTGCTGCTTGGGCGTGTTGCCTGTGAATAGACTCTTTTCATACTTCTCCGCCTCGGACACGCAACTTGTATGTGCAGCGTAGTCGTTGCCTTCAAACACGACGCTGCAGTCTACGCAGCTCACGGCCCAGCAGTTGCGACAGCGACTCGCGTGCATGTCCACCTTGTTCTTCTTGACCGTCTCATTGCAGCCTTCGCATACGAAGAAGACCATCTCGTTGCAGTCTCCGGCAAAGACAACCACCACCACTTGAGCTTTCCAGCAGCGCCAATGGTATAGATACCTTTGCGAAGAGAGTATACGTAGGGTACTTACCTACACACGAGCAAGATATCGCGGTATAGTTAAGCGAGGTCCACCAACGAAACAAGCAGGTGGTGCAAGTCCAAGCGAAAAGCCGCAGCAGCAGCAGACGAGCGGAAGATATGCCTGGAGAAGAGCGTGTGGACAGCACTAAAGGGATCAACGGAGAAGACGAAGAGGAGGAGGAGGTCGTGACGCTCTCGGATGTTCTCAAGCACAACGAGCACATGACCGAGACAGCAGACGCCGTGCTGGGCGACGCGAGCGACACGCACTGCAGTTACCCTATGGGGTACATCCGTCAGGCGGTTTACGCCTGTATGACGTGCACTCCTGAAGCTGTGGAGAGACCTGAGACACGTGCAGGAGTGTGTTTGGCTTGCACGTACAGTTGCCACCACGACCACGAGCTCGTGGAACTTTACACGAAGCGCATGTTTCGCTGCGACTGTGGCAATGACAAGTTCCCGTCGAGTAAGGACACGTACTGCTGTACTTTGTTGCTATGATGCTTGTTGTTTGTTAGTGTTGATATTGATGTTGGTACTATTGTCATGGTTGTTGTCGATGTTGTAATGTGTGGTTGATGTGCTGCAGCCATGTCGTGCAAGTTGGAAGCCGAGAAGGCGCCAGCAAACGAACGAAACACTTATTCCCAGAACTATGGTGGACTCTACTGCAATTGTCATCGACCGTATCCCGATCCGGAACGTACCACAGCAGATGTTATGGTACAATGCGTCATTTGCGAGGACTGGTTGCACGAGGAACACCTGACTGATGGTAGTAACGAGGAACCTGCAGCTGAGAAAGATGCCTCGGAGTCTTGTGATAAAGAGTCGACGACTGAAGAGTCGCCCACGAGTGGCGATGCCGACGGCACTGAAGATTTAGAAACCGCCATGTTGTGCGAAACGTTTGACGAGCTTGTTTGCCTCGACTGTATGAAAAAGCACCCGTTTCTCATGGCATATGCAGCGGGTAGTACGGTGGAGCGAGCTGTAAAGAGAGAGAACACTGATGAAGGCTCGTCCGAGGCGACGCCAGCTAGCTCGAGTGAATGTGTGCTCAAGCTGAAGCAGCAGCAGCAGTTGGAAACGAAGAGCTCAACAGCTCTGCGACCGACTTTCTGGTCGAGTGATTGGCGCAGTGATCTCTGCCAATGCTCGTCGTGCGTTGCGTTGTTTGAAAAGCATGGCATTGCTTTTCTACTGGACCCGGACGACGCGTTGCACGTGTACGAAGCCAGTGCCAGGGAGAAGAAAAGTGCGTCGGATGAGGAAGTCGCTCAGCGTGCATTTGCGAACAAGCTAACACATGAACAACAAGTGGATGTGGCCGTGGGCTACAGCGTCATGAAAAACAACCTTCAGCAGTATCTCGCAGGTTTTGCTGCTGAAGGCAAGACAGTGCGAAAAGAAGACATTCAGCAGTTCTTCGCGGGACTGCGCCAAATCAAGCGACAGAAAACGGAGTAAAGGCTAAGGTCACCAGGAGATGAAGACTCGTTCAGTTACCGCATTATCAATTGCATCGTGTTGGGACGTGCAGCCCTAGTTACTTTTGAAACTTGCTCAAGAACTCGAAGACCTTTGCCGACAAAGGAGGTGTAGCCTCGAGCGAGTCACCGGGTTTCGCCGTTTCAATCGTAGCTGCCAGACGAGCGCCTTGGTCGATTGCACGCTTTGCATCCAGCTCGCCAGCCTCATCGGCACCACCGATGCGGAAGACAACGATGTCCTTTTCCTGCAATGGCTTTTCGAGCTCGCGCAGCGGCACTTGGCCAACACAAACCACCACATTGTCCACATCCAGTACCTTCTTCTTGCCATTCTTGTCAGTGTAGTGGAGACCTGCATCGTCCACCTTGTCATACGACACACCACCAATCATCTGCACGTTGCGGTGCTTGAGCGAAAGTCGGTGGATCCAGCCCGTCGTCTTGCCGAGATCCTTTCCATGCTTTGTACTCTTTCGTTGCATCAGGTAAACCTCACGTGATACAGGCAGAATGCTAGGTTGGATACCTGCCACACCACCACGGACTGTATTGCTTGTATCGATACCCCACTGACGAGCGAACGCATCGACACTCGAGCTGGAAGACTCGCCTTCGTGAGTCAGAAATTCGGCCACATCAAAGCCAATGCCGCCTGCGCCGATGATCGCCACCTTTTGTCCAACAGGCGCCTTGTTCTTTAAGACATCAATGTAGCTTAGCACCTTCGGATGGTCCGCTCCCGGTATCGACAAAGAACGCGGTAGTACACCCGTTGCGATTACCACTTTATCAAAAGCTCCGGACATCAACTCTGCGGCCTCTACACGACGCCCAAGTTTCACGTTCACGCCCCTGAGCTTCAGTTGTTTTTCAAAGTAGCGAAGCGTCTCGTAAAACTCCTCCTTGCCTGGAACAATCTTAGCCATATTGAACTGACCACCAATGGCATCAGCTTGGTCAAATAAAGTCACCTCATGGCCACGCAAAGCTGCTGTCGTTGAAAATGACAACCCAGCTGGACCGGAGCCCACAACGGCTACACGCTGAACATCTACCTCATCAACAAATAACCTTTTTAGCACCCTTGAAAACGTATTTGCTATAGCTACGACTTACCATTCGTAGGCGTATAATTCAGCAAGGTCTCGTATCCCGAGCGTGGATTCACAAGGCAGCTTGCCGTGATACCTTTAAACGTGTGATCTAAGCACGCCTGATTGCAGCCAATGCACGTATTGATCTCATCCACTCGGTCTTCCTCAGTCTTGCGTACAAACTCTGGATCTGCAAGAAATGGCCGTGCCATTGACACCATGTCTACAACACAAAAGCATGTCAATCAGCAATGATAGTCCGAACCAAGAGCTGCCGTAAAAAATCGCAACCTGCTCTGCCCTCGGCAATGATTTGCTCGGCCACATCCGGCATATTAATGCGATTCGTCGTAATAAGAGGAATCGAGACTTCGCCTTTCATCTTTTGCGTCACCCACGAAAACCCGCCACGGGGCACACTCGTTGCAATTGTTGGAATGCGTGCTTCGTGCCACCCAATGCCTGTATTGATGATCGTAGCCCCTGCCGCTTCAATCTGCTTTGCAAGCATGACAATCTCGTCCCACGTGCTGCCCCTCTCGACGAGATCCAGCATCGAGAGGCGAAAGATCAAGATGAAGTCGTTGCCAACTGCAGCCCGCACAGCTTTGACAATCTCAACGGGAAAGCGGATGCGATTTTCGTACGATCCACCCCATTCGTCCTTGCGAGTGTTTGTGTGCTCCACAATAAACTGATTGATCAGGTACCCTTCGGATCCCATGATCTCGACTCCATCATATCCTGCTTCACGAGCCCGAGCAGCACAATTTGCATAGTCCCGGATGGTGCCTCTCACTGCTGCGCTCGATAGCGCCTTGGGCGTAAACCAGCCAATTGGGGCCTTAATTGCCGATGGAGCTACAGTAAACGGATGGTACCCATACCGTCCACTGTGTAGAATCTGCATTGCAATCTTGCCATCGTGGTCGTGCACCGCTTTTGTCACTTCTCGGTGAGCCGTGACTTCTCCCTGTGTCGTCAATTTAGCAGCTAAGGGACTGACGCGACCCGCACGATTCGGTGCGATGCCGCCCGTGACGATTAGACCCACATTCCCTCTGGCTCTGTACATGTCACAGCAGACATACCGAAACAATAGGTCCGATTAGTAACGGGATGAGAACAAGGTCCGGACGCTCAAATCAGGGCACGTTTTGACACTTTTGCAAATGAACTACTGACGACATTGCAAAACAAGCACCTTTCGGCGAAAAAAGCAGCGAGGCGAGTGAGCGACTTGCCCTCCTCAAGGCCCGTGTGCATGGAGCCCATGAGAATGCGGTTCTTCAGCTGCGTGAAGCCCAGATCCAGTGGCTGAAGAAGATGCGGGTACTTGCTCATGATGGGTACACTGGAAACAAAGACGAGGTCTTCACAATCAGACAACGATCAAGGACCTTTCGGTTCTTGAAGTCGCTTTTTGCCCGTCGCGAAAATTGACAAAACGTGGGCACCCACTGTCGGCGACCTCTCAAACTGACTGATGACGGCTTTAGAAGTATACACGACTTCTCGTATACCCAACCACTTAGAGGTTTTGTTGCGACCCCAATCGAATCGAACGATAAAGTAACCCAATTGAAGTGGCTCACGCGACCAAATTGAACCAATCAGCTTCCTTCTCCTCCCAGCCGCCACCCGCCGCACATTTTCGTGTCCCGGACTCTCATAACTAACAAACAGACCACGTATCAACTTAGCGAGGAAGCGCCCCCCCCGATCCCTTTACCATCATGACCACGGACTATACGCTGGACGAGATCCGTCGCTTGGCCGACACAAACCCCGACAAGCTCGCGCAGGAGTATCAGGCTTCGCGCGCGGCTACCGCGAACTTGGCGGACCGAGCCCGGGTTGGTATTGCGGCTCGAACGGCCAACCCGCCCACGACCAAGTTCCAAGCGTGGGCGCAGGGCTACGGCAACCGGTTCATCTACAGCGGCAGCTTTAAGCCAATGATGCACATGATGCTGATTGTGGGTGGGGCTGGCTGTGCCGTGGAGTACTGGTGCCATCACCGTATGTTGATTAATTATGAGAATCTCGTGCTTTGCCACGTGGTTTCTGCTTTTTCTGCTACGATAAAAAGTGATTTTTAGTAAACGTGTTTCGTGTTCTGTACTCATGACTGCTTTTTTTTCTTTCGACAGGACACGCTTTTGCGGACAAGAAGGAGGACGAGCACCATTAATTGGACCGAGCGTCGTGTTGTCAAGCTCTTGCTGCTGCTGCTCTATACTGGACCAATTCCATTTATAGTTGGACCATATCTGAGTACAGGAGCACGTGGAGGCAGACGAGGGAAGTCAGTTAGGTGGTACTCGTTTCAACACCAGTGCTAGCCAGCCAGCTATTTCTCGGACGGAGTGAGGAGGCAGTGCTTAAACGAAGGACTTCTACAGCCTCAAGCAAAACAAGTAAAAAGTGTGAGCGTGACAACTTCAACATGTTGATCGTCTCAAGTGTTCTTACGTCACACCATTCGTCGTGTCTCTTTGGTTCAAGCACGACAGTGTCTCAGGTCCTCCTTTCAGTCGACGCAGCAGTTTGACGATCACAATAGCGACGCAATTGTTTCCCGGGAGAGACAGAGCTCTCGAGTGGGGATCTTCCCGTAGCCTTGTACGACCAATTTGTCAGGGAACACATGCACGAGCGCATGTGCAGTCTCAGACGGCGCACACTCGAGGATGGCGTCGCACACGACAAAGTGCACTCCTCGAGTGCGTGTCCCCTCTTGAGCGTAAACGTATCCATCCCCGTGTGCGTGACCGGAAAAAACTGCGTCAACGCAGTCATACTGCTCGATGAGCTTCAGCACTTGTGGGTAGTTCCATAGCAAACTAGAGAGTGCAGGCGTTGAGCTCGGGTGGACTGGAATGTGCGTGAAAAGCACCACGTGTTGGTCCTTGGTTGTGGCTTTCACGAGCATCTCTTCCAGCCACAGCATCTGCTGTTGATCCACTGCTCCATTGTAAGCAACAAACCTCCTTTGCTCGTTGACAAGACCCGTCGGAGAATTGAGGTTCTCGTTTGGGTTGACACGACGAAGCAGAGATAGGGCTTCCTGGTACACTGGATCACTCGTCTCCCGTCCGAGGATCGATAACCCGTAGCAGTCCAGCACTATGAAGCGGAACGTTGGTGCCTCTGGAACTTGAAAGTCGTAATAGCGGCGTTGGTGATAGAGAAGGTCGCGCTGAATCGCAGCAACTGAGAAATTGTAGAGCTCGTGGTTGCCAATCAAGTGGTGCACTGGTCCAACATTGTCTTGGAACGGTGTCCACGCTGCTTTCGTGGCTTCCAGAGCCTGTCGAGACGTCGCAGCGGGTCGGTTCTTGCCATCAATGAGGTCTCCCAGATTCACAGCAAAGCGGAGGTTTACTGCGCAGTTTTCTTGGCTCTTGGCTACACGCAGCCATTCCGCGACCAGCGCTTGTAACTGAGACAAGGCACTCCGATAGTACCGCTCTGACGTGTGGTGAAAGTCCCATCCGTCCTCGACGTCGGCGTATTGTACATCGGCGACTAAGCCAAACGACACGAGCGGTGGGGTAACATCGTGTGCTGACGTCATGTTTGCCATGTTTTCACTTGACTTGACTATGCACTGCAGAGCCTGGACGACACGTTTGCTAAAACCAATGACCTCAAACCAGCTTGAAAGTAGCTACCGATAACAAAGTGGAACCGTATGGCATAGCCTGTCTGACGTTTGCTGGATGGACTTGTGTATTAACGGATACCGGCATCGATTCTTTTCTAAATTTGACACTCTGAGGGTATGGGACCTTTTTCGCAAAAGCACGAACGGAGTACCATGTGGTACACATTGGTGTTTTGTGCGCAAGTTGGCTCGGAAATTGATAGCGTTGGCTACGAATTGAATGGCACGCACTGCAGCGTGGCTGGTGTCACGTTTACAGTTTCCGGACCTAATTTGTCTCGATTTGTGCTAACAAGCGGTCGAAAACGCAGCAGCGTTTAGGATTTGGTCCTACCGTGTCACATTTTTAACTCAGAAACACACCTGTCGGAACGTTGTTGCGTGCACGCACGACATTCGTGCGACATTTGCCGCCCTCGCCATGAATCCGTTCGTAGAAGCGCCCGAGAGGCAGTTCGACCCGGAGTCGTACATCCACACGTCCACGGGCAACAAGATCAGTCGCAGTTGCACATTATGTGGCGCTCAGAACATCCACCTCCGCGGCAAAGTCAGATTCCGCGTGCTACATGTCGTAATGTACCCATGATTCTAATCAGACCTAGAGAGAAATAACATAGCGACTCGGTGTTCTATTTTTAGACAATTATTGATCCGGGCACAGTTGTCCGGGCAGATTTGGCCCGAATCTCGCTCGGGAAGCAGTGTATTATCCGGGAAAAGTGCATTGTGAAGCCATCGTCCAGGGTCTTGTCCACGTACGATCGAACGTTAGACTATGCCTTGATTAGTCAGGTTTGTACGAGATCAGTGGTATTGACAGGCATGTCTTGATGTGTTTTTTACTTGTGAATAGGGGGCTCGCCTTTATCCCTATCAAGGTGGGAAACTATGTGTACATTGGGGAACATTCAGTGGTGGAAGCTGCAATGATTGGATCCTACGTGCAGATTGGCAAGAACTGCGTCATTGTGCGTGCTTCTTTCTCCATAATTGTTGGGGGTTTATGATGTGTGGGAATAGTTAGCTTGAGCTCATCCTGTATATTGAATACGTGGATAGGGCAAGCGGGCTATCATTCGAGACTGTTGTCGGATCGAAGACAATACGGTTGTACCTGCTGACGCAGTTATTCCGCCGTTTTCGAGGATTAGCGGTATTCCAGGTATGATTTTGGATCGACTTTGGTTGTGTTGACATTTTTGTGGAAATCTGACTCGTGCATATGCTTGGTATCGATAGGAAAAGTGGTCGAGGACATGTCGGAAGCTACCCAGGAATTGTGCATCGGACAAATTAGCCGATACTTTGACAACTTTACACCGCGGCAAGCTTAGCTGGCGTGCTGAAGTTGAAGTCCTAAATTTGAAGGACGACAAATGAGTGGCCACTAACGTCGTGGATGCATTTTAGAAGAGCCATGAGTTGAATAGCGACGCATGCGAGAAACGTTTGAATGGCAAGCGGTGCTTTTGATCAAAGGTGTTAACTCTTCTGGGATTCCAAGCATAGCTAGCGCTGAAACTCGAGCTGATCCTTCGTATTGTTGTGTTTGACCGAGAACGGAACGCGACAAGCCGATCGGCGACAAACCGAACAGAAATACGGCAGTGACCTAGGAATGGTGCTGTTTATGGAGATCTATGAACCATGTAAGCGCACTGGAAGCTTACGGGTAAGTCTTAATGCGTGGACGGCGTCGACAGTATGCACCGAAAGCGCCCACATGCGCGCTTGACGACAGACCACAAGCAGTCTCGGCTGTTTCGCCTGTACATAGTTGCAATTACACTTTGTGCTCTAAAGATGACGCTAAGTAGCTGGCAGTGGAAAGCAAGGTAGGCATCATTCTCTGTGCTTCTTGTGTTCAGGCTTGCCATGATAACAGGTCAGCGTCGCTCGATGAGCTTCCATTGATCGACTATCTTGGCAGTATGGCAAGGGTTGCGGCCTCGATGGGTTGCGAAGATGATCGCATACCCGCGATATATACAAGATGGACGAAGACAGGCAACGTTTGTTGCTAGCACTTTCGCATGCAAACCCGATGAGGTCGACACCACATTCTACAACTAGTGCTCATGAACAATTCGGTAGTCACTCATCGCCACTTTCATCTATTCACTACTCTGAAGAAGTCAATGTTCCAGATAGATAACTACTGATACGTGTCTTCTCTAGCTCAACTCTGCAGCAGTTTTGCGCTCTTTACGTTTACATGGTTGCATCCTTTGACAATCTATGCCTGTAACATTTCTAGGATGGGCTAGACCGTCTGAGGGAGGAAAAAGGTGAAAACATTCTACGAGGAGCCCTATCAAAGTAGCTTGTAATCGCATTGTGAAGAGGTACTTTTGTTGAGACCTTTTCCCGTTATTTTTACCATAGCTTTGGATGGATCGATCGGTCTGGAGCGCCCAGAGCACCTAAATCTGCAGTTGCGCTTGCATAACCGATTCAAGTGCTTGTGTTGTAAGTGCATGATGCACTGGATTCGACTCCAGAGATTCGACCCATGATAGGGTATGTCTAGAATGTTCTTTAGGGTTCTATGCATTATTATAGGTCGTACAGCAGCTAGACGTATGGATAGTTCTCACTTGTAGATTGACAAACCACTGATGAGGCCCCGGCGGGGGGGCCGAAACGCGTCTGGTGCGCGGTAATATACAAGTCATTTACTTTACTTAATTCTTACTTCTTACAGGTTATGAGCCCAAATGCTCGCTGCAGACACCTCACCAAGGACCAACTTGTGCGAGGGACACCCCGTCAGAGAAGGCGCTCGATGCACGAGTAAGGCGCCGAAGAATTCATCGACAGGGATCGTTGACGGTGCGCGTGCAGTCGAAAAGGGTTTGTGCAAGGGTGGTGACGCGAGATGGTCTGAATGCGCGAGTGCTATCGAAGGAAGAGTCAAGTCAAGTGGTGACAAGTGTATTTGTGGTCAAGAAGAAGTGGAAACTACATGCAAGGCGAACGACGACTACGAGATGTCAAGATGTGACATGGTGCTGGACGATGGGGGAGCTGGAATACCTGGAACGCTCGGTATCATCGAGGTTGGCTGGAGCGCAGGGGCAAGACTCAATCAAGATTTCCATGGTGCACGGATGCAGCAGTGAGGATTACAGGCGGGTCGATACCAAAGTGGTCTGCATCTCATGTCGTCGAGGGGGAGTGTTGTAAGTGCATGATGCACTGGATTCGACTCCAGAGATTCGACCCATGATAGGGTATGTCTAGAATGTTCTTTAGGGTTCTATGCATTATTATAGGTCGTACAGCAGCTAGACGTATGGATAGTTCTCACTTGTAGATTGACAAACCACTGATGAGGCCCCCGGCGGGGGGCCGAAACGCGTCTGGTGCGCGGTAATATACAAGTCATTTACTTTACTTAATTCTTACTTCTTACAGCTTGTATACGACATCGCCAAGGTTCTGTCTTTGGTTGTTATTGCGAAGTGAAGTTGGATAATTGCTCTGCGTTTGCGGTCTTTGACGAGCTCCGAGGTATACCACGCGATATTCATTTCGCACTGGAGCATTCCCTCATTCGCACTGTTTCCATCTTCTAGGCAGTTCCCCACACTGATTGTCGTGCCCATGTAGCAAGAAGACGCAAACGATCATGGTTTTTACTAGCTTACGGCGATTTGCGCTCTTCCATACGAGCCGTAACGTTAGTATCAAGACGCAATATATTGTCGACACTGCGTCTTCGGGATGCTGGAAATTACATCGCTGCTACCACGTCTACCACTGCTCTGTTAATTATGAGTTCGTGGTCGGTTTTCGATGTTAGACGCTTAGATCTTTGGCCGATCTTCGGATTGCATGAGGTGGCGGTGAGTATGCATTCTTCATGGACCGCTCTAACAAACGCGTGGCCTGCCTCATAATAGTTTCCTCGCTCGAAGCGACTCGAAATCTGAGCAAAGGAGTGACATCACGCAACAAGCTTGTGTGTAGATTAATCCCCTGCATATCTTCTTGACCTGTAGATCAGGCAACACACTTTTCGCATCTATCGCGTAGGATGATGATGTACTGATGCCTGCCAGTGGAAAACCGTAGGTACCACCAGCATCAACTCCAACCCTCTCACTTGTCTGCAGTTATGAAAAGCTTCGTCATTACAACCGCAAACATGGTAAAAGAAGAGATAATAACACTCAACGAGCAAGTCAACACACGGATGTGTACTGAAGAGTTGCACTGTGATCAACATCGTAGCATTACTACACCTCAGCAAGTCATACTCACAGTTTCTTATCGCTAATGCTTGCTCCGCTTGGTCGGAGATGCTCCGCGGTCTTCCGGATGGAATCGACGATCTTCGTCTTGTAGCTCCAGCACTCGCTTGCCTCGGAAGGAACCCTTTGCGACACGACTCGAAGTAGAAGAAGAAGATAAGCTAGAACTTCGGTGTAGTTGACTGTTGCCCAGTGGCGATCTCCTCACGGGATCGCTGCAGCATCCACTATCACTTCGTGGACTTGGCGAATGTTGTAGATCGTCACTGCAGCTGCACAGTCTCAACACTGCACTTCCTCTCAATGGAAGCGCCAATGCATCAATAAACGCTGGTACTTGTGAAGTTTCTGAGAACTTTCGTCTTGTCCCTGGTACTGCTTTCGGTGTCGGGGACAGTCCTGGACTCATGCAACAAGATGCTGGAACTCCTGATCGTCCATGACTGCAGTCGACATCATGTCTTCTGGGGCTCATCTTGGTCGCGTGCTGGCGTAGTCGATTGTGAGGGTTCTGAGTTGGCGTGCAGGGTCTGACATCCGACCGTACTGCTCCTCCTTGGAAATGGCGATTGACACCGAGAGGGCGAGGACAGGCAATTGGCAGGAGCGTCATGTTCATCTGTACAAAGCTCCAGGTCGAGTGGTCATTGCAAGAGGGACGTGAGGTCCCGATCACCTCCGTGGTACCAGGTTGGATGGGGTTGTCGCCTTTTAACTTCAATGCCATGGTCGCAGGTCTAGCTGAAGGAGGTCTGAAGGACATGAACGGGTTGGGTCCTCGTATTCGTGGGTAGATCGAAGGACGGATAGCAGCTGGGTGAAGGGTGATGAGGCAAATGCTCTTCAGGCGTGTGGCTCTCCAAGATCAAAGACTCGACGTTTGGTGTCGGGTTTTCAGATCTCAGGGGGGCGGAGCGCACGTTGGTTATGCGTGAGTTGTTGGCTTTTGTAGCTACGAAGAGCGAGTAACGGGGATCGATAGAGGGTGAGGATAGCGTTGTGACTGTTGTGGGACGGTGGTGGAATTCGATGATGAAGGAGGGAGGGAGAAAGCAGCTCAAGAGGTCGCGCGACAGCCGTCTGGAAGGTGTAGAACGGGCGACGACTTTCTGCGTCCGGCTGGGACTCACCGCATGGGGTTTGACGTTAGTCCTGACTGACTTTTGCGGGCGGTTGGAGTGCGCCGCAGTCATGATCGGTGGACAGAGGCAGTTAGTTGGTTGCCTCCTGGTCTTGGACAGGCTGGACATCGGAAGCAAGAAGAGCAAGTTGCGCCGTAGGGTGGAAGAAGACTGACTTCCAAGAGGAGTTTCAACGTCCATGAGGTCGTCGCTCGATTGTAAACTGCAGCGAGACAGCAGAGTCAAACGAGCGTTGATCGACTGCCGCGGAGACCTGCATCGCTGCGTGCACTCGGACGCCCGGTCGTACACTTTTGCAAAGCTCATGTGTACGACGAATAGAATACACACATGGAGCTTCCCCGTCCAAATCGTCGTGCGCATGGGAGTGACATCCGTCCGCTACTTACGAACAGCGACCGACTGCAACGTCGTTGCCCGTACCACGCGACGTCACGCGTCGTTCGTTGCGTTGCCATGGACAGCAATCGAGCCAGCAGGCTGGACGTTATCGCCACATTGCGTCATGATAAACTGCATGTATCCGAGTCTTGTGTTCATAATCATCGTTATGTATTCGTACGCACGCCTCGTCGCCCCCTCGCCGTCTCCTCATCGTACAATAGAACGATCAACCGCCTCACTCACTGACTTGTCATCATTGCGTGTTCGTAAAAAAACGAAAAAAATCCTCCTCCCTCATTCCAAGATCCGACTCCATTCAGCGAACCCACGAAGAAGACCGAGCAATCCGCGAGCCAGTCAGTCAAGTCACAAGTCAGTTAAGTCACAAGTCACAAGTCCAAGCCTTTCGATCTCCAGGCAACCAAAGATGAGCGACATCGCAGCGATTATCAACGTCGTCAACAAGTTCGCCCTCGCGTACTCACTCGAGGACGCCGACGCGTCCATCAAGACGCTCCTGTCGCTCTTCACAGCCGACGCGACGTTCGTAGAGGAACTCGTGGGCGGCAAGTGCTCGGGCAAGAGCGAGATCGAGGCGGCGCTCAAGGAACTGGCCGAGCTCAAGTTTGTGGCGGACACGCGCCACTTGCCCAGTGGCCACGTCGTGGAGCTCGTGGACGCCGACAACGCGACGGTCTCGAGCCACACGACGGTCTTTTGGAAGTGCACGCCCGTCATGGTTGTCGCCTGGACGGACGTGCTGGTCAAGAGCGCGGACGGGCAGTGGCTCTTCCAGCAACGAGCAGCCGACGCGGTGCAGAAGAACCTCGAGATGATTGGCGAGATGCAACTGCGGGGCAAGAAGCAGTACGCGCACAAGGACGAGTCTTGAAAGCCGAGGACTGGACTTGGACCTCGTGGGGGTTTCTTCTTCTTTTGCACGCACTTGTTCCGTTTTCCTCCTCCTCCTTTCTCCATTGGGGTCTTCATGTAGGCTGATGTGCGGTCTCACTGCTTCCTGTGTTTTCGAAGTGTTGGACAAAAAATATACAAAAAAGACTGGAAAAATACCGATCTCGTGTCATGTGATGTTCTTGGATCTTGACTGAAACTGAAGATGAAAGAGACAATACCTGTGGGAAGAGATACATCTGGTCACGACGGGGTGAGCAGCTGGTACACTGCAACTTGAAGTAAGCAGAACGAAACAAATGTGAGACTGGAATTGACGGGTCTCATCATAATGCAATTGGTGCCAAGTGTAGAATTTTGATCCTCGACTGAAGAGCTTCGCATTGCGTCGCCCAATCCGAGCAAATTGCAGTCATGACTATCGAAGATCTAAGTCGAAAGCGCCGACACGGCAGCTAGCGCTTCCTTGTCTGCAAGTGTCAGTTCCGGTAGGATTGCCTGAAGCAAGTCGGGGTTGGCCGTAACATTGTGCAACGCCCGAGGGATCGCGTCCTGCCAACAGTAACAACGAGAAAAACACCAACGGCAAGTAAGTTACCTCGAAAACCCTGCACTGACCCCGAAAATACGAAGCGATCAAACTCGCATGACGTACCTTCAGGTCCAGCTCGTCCAACGGATCAAAGTTCGCCTCAAATTCTTCCTCCGGCTCCTCGCCTTCACACATGCCTACAGCGCCATCGGCAGTCAAGCATTCAGAGAGAAGTTTGTAATTCTCTGAAGATCACACACCACAAAGAAGAGTTTAGTTCTCCGTCGACCTCTGTACAACCTTCGCATACCATGCACATACCTGCAGGTGCAAACACTGAAGATGCTGTTGCAGCACTGGAAACAGCCTCGTCATCAACATCATCTTCGCCATCAGACGACTCGTCATTCGAGGACTCCCACTCCTCTTCCTCCTCAGCCAAATTCGACATGGTCTTCGCAAGAATGACGACGAACTTTGATAAGAAGTGTACCGTGATTTGCTGTGTCTCATCGGATACAGAAGGACTTTTGGCCTTCGACCGCGTCTGGATACCACTGGCTCCTGTCCTTGCCGAATCGACCGCGCTTCCTTCGACAGTAATGGAATTTATGCGAGGGTCATTCCACGAGACGACCTTGAACAGCGCACTCATAGTCACCTTAATGCAGTAAAGTCCGTAGAAATCCTGCTGCTTCTCAATCCAGGTTTGGAACACAAACGTCAGCATGTTCGGAGCCTGAGCTTGACCTGCTAGGGCAGCTGGAGGCGGCAACTGCTCCAGAACGTTCAGGAGTTCAGAGCCGTGAGAGTGAACAAGGCGAGCGAACACCATGCACAAAGACTGAACCAGCGACGGTAATTCTGTTGCCGCCAGTCGGGCGCAAACAGCACTGAGGATTGACTGCACGGTCGCAGTGGGCAGACTCGGACCCAGCTTCAATAAGATCTGAGTAATCAGACCACCGACGCAGGTGGCACTCATATCAGAGACAGCCGGTGACAGCAACTTTGCTGATACCGACAATATTGTGTCAATGCCGTTACTACCAGCAGCAGTAGCGTACGCCATCAAAGGATCCACAGCAAACATCACGAGCCACTTCAAGCATTCGGAGCCAGAATTGAGCACTTTTTCATCTTCAATAGCGCCCAACACCACGACAAGTGGCTCAAACGCCTGCTGAACAACCTGAGCTGCGAGTTGCTGAGTTGCTCGATCGGCACTACTTGCCGCCATAGTGCCGGTCGAAGCAAAAGAATGACGAAGCAGTGTCCTCAGAATGGTCAGTGCACTACCAGCTGTGTAGATACCGTTGCCAGCCCCTTCCAAGTCTGCAACACTTTGGACAAGCATAGAGCGCATGACAGGCAAAACTTGCTCATGAACCTTTTCCGTCACAGCAGTGTTGTCGAGCTGGAGAAGCGCTCCAAAAGCACCATCAGTCAGTTCCGAAATCATCGGATCGTTCAAATGCTGAGTCCAATGACGCAAGAAGCATGAAACAACACACTGCGCCGATTCAAGAGCTAAGCCGTCCGACTCTTGAAGAACAACGACCAGCGTCTCGAGGGAAATATGGAGTGTCTCATGGGTAGATTGCTCTGCCAGGCTCGTCAGCCGGTCGACGACGGCAAGGGTTGCCTCCTGAAGCCGAGCCTTGCCCACGTCATTGCGAATAATAGCGCCAATGGCACGACAGGCGTACATCCGGACAGGCAAGACCTGGCCTTGCTCGAGTCCCGATATTGCCACCTGAAAGAAAGCGTCCAACATCTCTTGGTTCATGCCCTTTGCAAGGCGGCTCGCACACCAGAGTGCTCTGGCTCGCAAATAAATCTCTTGGCTTCCTGCGTTCATCACCTTAAATAACGTCTGCAAGAAAGCTGAAAGATCCAGCAGCTGCGTAATGTCGGTAGCATTCCTACGAACAGCATCAAGCGTCGACGTGGCCAAACATCCTACAACTAGCAATGCTGCTTCCTGAAGACGCCAGTTGTTTGTGTTTTCGGCCTTCAAGCGCCGTTGAGCAGCATCTAATGCAGCTACTACCGCCTTCCGTCCCAGCACAGCCTCGAGCTCCGTCAGGAGATCAGTTGCAGCATTACGCACATTGAATGCCAGGCTTTCGTCATCCTCGTCTGCAACGTACTTGTTCGGATCCTCTTGCCACGACTCCATCTGGCTCACCGTGATCTGCATGTATCCAATCATCACAAACACAAAGTCGGCCAGTCCAGCCACAATCAAGTGCCGTGTTTTTTTTGTTGGGGCCTGGACTGCACCACGCACGAACTCAAAAACAGCAACGATCACAGCACTCCTGCCAATCAGTGCACCCTCTCCATCACTGTCGTAATCTTCATCTTCCCCCGAGGCACTCAACACCACATCTCGATCATACGCTTCCGCATCATGTAGCATCAATCCATAAATCTGCGGCATGATCTGCGGTATCAAGTCCGTCATCTCCTTGGGCCATTCTCGCACAAAACTCGCCAGCGACGTCAAAATCTGGATCTTCATCGAGTACTCCTTGACACTCTGCACTGGTCTTGCTAGCTCCTCTAGAAACAACGCAATCCACTGCGTCGTGTTTTCATGCAGCAGCTTCTTTGCCGTATTATTGCCCACCTGTGCCTCCATGCCTACCATGAGCAAACTGCTCTGCACGATCCGTGCAATTCTCGTCCTAGTTCCACTCGAAAACTCATTTCTGAGCACAAAAAGACGCTGTAAATGCGGGAACACCGACGTTACAAGTTCGCAGCAATTGTCACTGGAAAAGTGACCACCTGCTAGCGACAAAAACCGCACCGCCACGTCAATTGGCAGCACTTGCTGACCCGAGATCATGGTCATAATGGCTGGCAAGATCTCAGTCCATTGGTCCGGCCAGTCGCGCTCAAAAATAGAGACCAGGAGGAGACACAGTGCTGTCTGGAGCTTGCTCGGTCCAAAGAGCTCCAGTCGCTGCTGCAGCGCCAGCACCAGCGCGTGTTTCACCTGCGTCTTCTCAGCCTCAGCCACCACATAGGTGCCGTCCCTTGTCTCCTCTTCGATTATTGTCCAATAGGAAGTCACGAGCTGCTTGAGCAGAAGCGCAGCCAAGTGCCGCTGGGTCTCAGACGCTTCCACGGAGCAGAAAAACTCGACCAGCTGCAAGGCAAAGCCCGGAACACGCAGGAGCTCCATCAGACGCGCTTCGCTCTGCGCACGGATGTCCGTGACGGGGGAGAGACTGCCCTGTAGGAGCTGCACAAGCTCCATCATTGTCGTCTCTCTTGAGTGTTCTTGTTGTATGGAAATTCGATAGTGACGACAATGTAGCCATGACGATGCGTGGATCAGTTGAGATAGAGTGAAGCCATGTCAAATGAACAGGGAGCGGACACAAAAAGGGCGGTAATCCAAGTGGATGGTCAGGAGCTCGGGACGTTTATGTACGCGATAGACTGAGTCTTTTTATGATCAGATTATTTCGCCTTATTGGGCTCAACGGGCGGTTCTTTGTCGTGATAGCGTTAATAACGTTAACATTCGGGTGCCCGACTGTGGCTTTTTTCCTGCCTTAAGGTTGCGTAGTAGCACCTCTTTCTCGGATGTGGGTACCGGTGTCTTTATCAGCTACCAGCTTGCGACTTTTGCCAGCACAAGTGATTCAACAGTAGGGACGGGGGTTCTTACTTAGATTGGCAAACACTTCGTTTCCCAGATCCGGTTGCCCACGTATTGTAATCGGTACGACGTATAGCGTAATGAGATGCCCTGAAAGAGAAAAGCCAGGTAACAATCTTTCTCGAGCATGATTGCAAAGCTCTTGCGGTCCAAAACGTACACCACACTGTGTTGCGTTGCAATGAGGGACGTCTTGCGCTTTTCACCCGTAAGGAAGCACATTTCACCCACGATCGATCCCACCGAGACACTTTCAGTCGTACCAGCCTCTTCTTCCACTACGGCCGTGAGAGCTCCGTCAATCAGCAATAAAGCGCGGTCCGGAGTATCGCCTTGCCTCCACACGACTGTGTCCTTGCCAACCTCCTCCATTCGAAAGTAGTCCAGTAGACGTTGCTGTACGGAAAGTGGCTGACCTGGCATAAACCGCCGCAGGTTACGGATATGCGCCGACTCGTCTTCATTTGTAGCACTCGTAGATACCACAGGTCCGCCCTGATTCACTATAGTCTTTTCGAGGATACCGGTCTCGCACCAAGCAAGAGCGCTGTCTAAATCCGATGCAACGTGGAACATGCCGTTATCGCCAAAAAGCTCAATGAGGTGCATCGTGAACTTTTCGTAAGCACTTGGCACCGCTGCGAACACGATCTTGCAATTGTGCGTATCGCATGCATACTTTATCTTGGTGAGTCGGTCGGCTGCAGAAGAATCCAATCCCACCACCAAAGTGAAGTCGAGCACAAGCCAGCATATATCCAGTCGTGGTCGCACATCTTCATGTAGTTTGCTATCGAGTAGAGGCTCTACCTTACAATTCGTAGGATTGTATCCCTTTCCAAAGAGCTCGCGAACGTAATCGCTAAGCTGGTTGATATTGCCGAAGAAAAGGTGGCCCTTGAGTTGCACGACATGAATTTTGCGGCACTCGCGATCCAGCACATCTAGCTCGCCTGTCGTACGCCATGTGTTACTACGAAGGGTGGCAGCACTCATGCTCCCACGAATTGGAGCATTGGTCGGTGTGCGCGCACTTTGCATAACAAACGTCAAACAAGCAAGCAGGGCACCGACAGCCAGCCCTTGATTCATGCCCCAGAATGTCATAGTCCCAGCAATAGCCCAAACAGTGCCAAGCTCCAAAACATCCAGCTGCACATATGTGTCAATCAGCGCTTCTTTCAGCAAGTCCCAACCAAGGTGCATCATAACGCAGCCTGCCATGCAGCGCGGCAGGTAGGAAACAGCACTGGGTCCAACGAAGAAGAAGAACAGTAAGATGAGTCCGATAACAAAGCCACTACGCCGTCCCGAGCCTCCACACTTGTAGTACAAAGCTGACGTCGAGTAGCACAGGTAGTTTTGCACACTACCGCACAGGCCACCCAGCGTATTCGAAATACCGTGAGCAACTAGCTCGTCATTTATATCCACTTCCTTGTCGATAGTGAGACTCAGTGACGGGATATTGATAGGCACGTGCATGAGCGAGAAAAACGTCAAGCCAACGATTGTTCCAAAGTGCTTGGGGATGACATGCCAAACCACTAGCGAGAAGTCATACTGTTCCCACAACGAGTAGAACGGCACGTTTGGTGCACGATCAAAGAACCAGCCATGCTCACGTGCCGTATCAGTTGAAATGCCAAGCAGTAGTAGTACCACGTAAAAGAGCGGTGGAATAGACACGAAAAAGAGCGGCGGGAACAATGGCGACTTGATGCGACGCGCGAGGAAAAACAAGATGAGTGCCAAGATAGCCGAGCTTACCCAGAGCCACACGACAGTTTGGTCAAAAAGGCCTTTCACGCCATGCCAAGACCAGTCAAATGCTCGTCCCGTTGCATTTTCAATCCCGCTCTGCAGTACAAAGGCGCCAATGCCACCCACAGCACCGACAATAATGTGTTTCGGGAAAAGGTACACAATGCTTCCAAGCTTCCAGTAGCCAAGCACGAAAAACAGCAGACCGCACACAACAGACGACAGCGCATACGTCACGAGGATCGTCGGTAGCACACTTGGGTTCGTCGCCCCAAGTTCTTGAATAATAGCCATCGATATCGTGTGCATGAACGGTACGTTTTCCACCATCATTTGACAGATCGCACCGTCAAAGTTGCTTAGCGCCACAAACGTAAACTGGCAAATGGCCGACGTCAAGAGGAACATCTGAATACCAAGTGCACGTGGCACGGGCATCTCGTGCCACTCGACTGGAAAAAAGGACAGACCAAAAGGGACACAGATCATCAAGTTCACGAGGACGACGATCGCGACACTAGGTACCGCTTGAACCACATCCAGCACGCCTCGTCTCCAGCCAAATCCAGAGCAGTCTCGAGCATCTGGAAAGTGCGAGTTCGCCCACGACTCAGTCGACAATTGAGTTGCTCCATAGTGCTCGTATTTACACGGTGGAGACGCTGCTACAGCAGTGGCGACTGTTGTAGGCAGCGACTCGAGACCTGAAGGAGACGGCGTGGCGACTGGTGGGGCGGACGGGAAGTGTAGAGACGTGATACTGGCGTCACGACGGAGCGGCGGCGGTTCAAAGATCATGCGCGATGGCTCAGGCGTTGGAGCGTTGCGACGCGGCGATCGCAGCAGTTGAGGCGGCGGCCGTGGCTTGTCATCCAGCAGCTCCATTGGAAGTGTGAAGTACGTCGTCGCTGGACAAAAATGTAGCTATGTGGGTTTTCTTTTCAGCCAGTAATATTGCTGGGTGCGGATCACATCGGAGAGCGCCGCCACTGTTGGGTGCCAATTGGTGAGCGGATGATTAATTGAGACCAGCAGCGAAAGTTTCACACGTCACACATTTTTCGCAGACATGCGGGTGGGTTAGTGGATGGATAGATGGGAGTCTTGGATGCCATCACTCTACTTGCTTACTGCTGGTGGATGTCAGGCTGGAGAGCAACGACAGCTCTTTAAGATCCAGTTGTGCACTGTGAGGTCTAGAAGTTCATGCACGACAGTGGTCCAACTTGTCAGAGTAGATCCGGATCGACAAACGATCTTCCTTCCTTCCGAGCTGCTTCGCCTGGCGTAATCATCAGCGGAAGGAAGCACTTGTGAACAGCAAAACGTAGCACAAACAAGGTGCATTGTTACCACACAACTCTTTCTATCTCTGCACCTCTTTGTCTGCCCGCCCATCCGTTGTCTAGCTGAAGCAGACCCTTCTTCCCACTATGAACAGATCGACATTGCCGCTTCATTGTAGTGTGCCTCTCGAGATCCACTTTGTGATCCGCTTTACACCTTGGCAGTGCCCGAGGCGTTAGTGATGACGGCACGGATGACCTTCATTTCGGCCTCCAGGCGCACCAGGCGGTCCATCGCCTGCTCCAACGTCATGCTGCGCTCCATGAAAGAGCCGCCGACAGGTCGGCCCACGACGAACGATCCACGCATGAACGAGTCGTTGTTCAGCAGAGTCGAACCCATACGGATGCGGTTCTGGCGCTGGGCTTCCTGCTTCACGTACTTCTTACTGCTCACCTTGCGATCGTACACGTTAATGCGGTCGGCATGCTCCAGCAAGAAGATCACAAGCACCTTGCCAAGATCCTGCACGAAGAACCAGCCGAGGCAGTAGATCCAGACAAAGATAGCGAGTCTCACCTCGATGGCTTTCATCTCCGTGAATGGCCAGAACAAAGCCAGAAGCGTAGAAACGATAGTGGCGAAGACTGCAGCAACCGCCAGAAGACGGCCAGGTGCACGCGTGAAGAACAGTCCTTCCGTACGAGCCGTGAATACTGTCATGAAGTCGGACAGCGAGATCTTGAGGTAGATCATCATCATGACTTGGTCATACGGAAGGTTACCCACGCCAAAGTAGGCGAGAACGCCATTCTCATTCCACGAGTCGAGGCCCCAGAAGAGCAGCAGGAGAGAGCTGGCTACAGCAATCAGGCCGAGCGTCGTCGCCACCCAGTAAATGCGAGGCAAGTTCCAGACTTCAGGACGCTTCGATGGCACCACGTTGTCATACGCAATCGATATGATCGTACCATCGTTCAAGATCGTGATCAGCACTAGTGCAATGACAGGCAGTTTGAAGTACGGGTCCACGGCTTCGGAGCTCTGGTTGTCGTTGTACGGGCAGTCGCCAACGTGCGGGATAAAGTGCGGGAAGCGACAGCTGTCCGGGTGGAACAGCAGCACGGAAATGAAGAAAAACATCAGGAGCTGGATCGTGCAGGCAATACGATACGTCACGTAGTTGCGCATGCGCTGGAAGATCTTGCGAGACAGAGTGATGGCGTTAATGATGACCGACAGACCAGGTTGTGTGAGCACAATGTCTGCAGCAGCGCGGGCCGCGTCCGTCGAGCCTTCAACGGCGATTCCGACATCGGCTTTCTTGAGGGCAGGGGCATCGTTCACACCGTCACCAGTCATACCACACACCCAGCCGCGCTGGCGCAGCACCTCCACAATCAGGAACTTGTGTTCCGGGAACACTTGCGCAAAGCCGTCAGCGCTTTCAACGATAGCACCGTAGTCGGCACCAAGGGTCGCCGAGAGACCGTCCTGCACATTAGCAGTTGGAAGAACGTCCGTGCCGAGGATAGTCGTGCCCATTCCAAGCATACGACACGTCTCCACGGCAATAGCCGCTTGGTCACCAGTGATCATCTTAACGCCAATGCCGTTCTCGTGAGCTTGCTCAATCGTGCGCTTGGTGTCATGACGCGGGGGATCCAGGAACGTCATGATACCGAGGAAGACCCAACCGCCATTCGCTTCTTCTTCCGAAGTACGCCCAACAGCAAGCGAGCGGATTCCACGCCTGGCTAGCTCCAGCACCTTTGCCTCCACGTCCTCTTGAATCTCCGTCACGTTGTGAGCAAGCGCAAGAATGATTTGCGGTGCTCCCTTCGTCACCTTAAAGATCTTGCCATCAGGTCCACGGACCTTGGACTCCGTGCGCTTCACAGATGGGTCGAACGGGATATGGTCCATCATCGTATACTGGTCCAGCGGGCGCAGATCAATGGAGTTCAGCACAAGCGTGTCAAGGGCATCTTTGGGTGGCTCCTTCCACTTAGCAGCAAGTGCTGCCGTAACAAGCACCTCCTCGCGGGTCGCAGTAGGGTGGAAAATCGGCAAGTCATCCTGGAGCTCCATCTTGTTACGCGTGAGCGTCCCGGTCTTGTCCGAGCACAGCATGTTCATTCCCGAGAGCGTCTCAATGGACTGCAATTGCGTCACAATCACCTTCTCCTCAGCAAGTTTGCGTGAGCCAAGAGCCATAGTCGACGTGCAGACAACCTGCATGGCAATTGGAATCGAAGCCACGAGCAGCACGACACAAAAGGCAATGGCTTCAAGGAAGTCCTCGCCGTTGTAAAGCAAGTAGCCGAGACAGAAGCCCACAAGGACAAATGAAATGGCCATGAGGAACATGGTAATGCGCACGAGGATCTTCTGGAAGTGACTCACTTCGTCGACACTTGAAATGAGGCTCGCCGTCTTGCCAAAGAACGTCTGGCCTCCTGTAGCGGAGACCACAGCTTCAATCTCGCCACGGACAACCGTGGAGCCCATCTTGGCATTGTCTCCAGCCGCCATCGTCACTGGGAACGACTCTCCCGTCAGAGCTGCTTGGTCAATCTGCACGGGTTTGCCCTCACACAAGTCACAGTCAGCAGGGACAGCCGCCCCCGCGGAAAGAGTGATGCGGTCCCCCGGTACGAGCAGAGCCGCGTTAATGGTCTGGTGCACGCCGTCACGAATGACTTGAGCCTCGGGCTTGAGACTTGCCTTGAGGGCCGCGACGGCATTGCCGGCCTTGAGCTCCTCGTACCAGCCAACGGTTCCATTGAGGACTTGCAGGAAGAGGAGCACGAAGAAGTCAGGCCAGTCATTGGTCAGGGCCTCGACCAGGATCGCGAGCCAGATCATGATCTGCATGGGCCCCCAGAACTGCTCGGCCAGTTGGATCCAGCAGCTCTTTTCCTTGCTCTCGAGCTCGTTGGGGCCAAAGACCTTGAGGCGACGTGAAGCTTCGACTGTGCTCAGTCCCGCTTCGCCCGTGTCCAGGAGCGAGCGTTTGTCCACGCCCATGTAGAACCGGTCGTCGTTGGCACTTGCGCCGCTGTACGAGTGCTCGTCGCCGTTGGCGAGCAAAGGACTTTGCTCGGACATGTTAGGATGGACGTCCTCCCCCCTTCTTCGCTATTTGTCTTGATCGTTGTATGGAACGACGACGGTGATGGAAGATCGCCCTCAGTCCCGGCAAATGGAAAAATGAGACCTTTGTCAGGAGCTCTTGGCTCGGATTTTTTGTTCCAAATAAGATTCGTGGACGCACTGACCACTCACGCGCGGAGGGGGTGTCGAAATTGACCAATCAGGAGGACGCAACGAGGCCCATCCACATCAGGAGCTGCGCCGCCTCTCTCTTGGGTGGGGTTAGGTGCACAAACTCGGGACTGTCAAGTCAGATAGGCGCGAGTTAATTGGTGGACCATGGCCACGCGCCACGTCGGACGAGACCACGTCTGCGTAGCAGATGGCACCTCCGACTGGGCTGTTGCAGCTGGATATCAGACAGCAAAGTAAGTTGGTTTTGCCTGGCCAAATGGTGCGATTTGCTCGTATTGGAGTCAGTTCGTAAGGGAGGATTGGTGCTGCTTCGGCTGGCGTCTTTGCTGCAATGCGTGGAATCGCAGACGAGTGTAGGCGGGACGGCAAAGCTCAAGATTGCGCGCGAATAAGGTGGAGGCTGTGGACAGCCGCATGACGACGAAACTTTGGGTGTCGAGCGAGGTAGCCAGTTTGCAGTCGAAAAAGCAGCGTCGAGCGCGTCTGGCCACGCGATCGGCAGCAGGGCAGTAGTCTGCTATTTAGATAGACGATCTGTACATGTTCTCAAACGAACACGGAATGGAAAGTGCTATCGACTCGACGTCAAAGTCGTTGCTGTGTTCATTAAGCCTGATATCATCAGTGTGCTCAGCTTCGGCAACTCTCGCGGTGGGGCTGCGGACCAAACGCACGAACGAGACTCTTTTGACAATACATTAAAAAGTTTAGGAAGGGTGCAGGTGCGCGTACTATCAAATCGCACAAGCTCATCGCGTATTTTTCGGTGCTTGCGCGCTCTGGATTGAGGTGCAAGCGTGGACTATTGGAAAATGCAGGCAGCTTGTAAGAAGCAACCGCATGAAGGTTTTGTAACGAGGTGCCTCCGTTACATGATGATCTACACAGAGTAATTATCAAGTGTGAAAGTTGTGTCAGGACAAACACAATGTTCTCACATTATCATCGTGATCGATAATATTGCTTCGCAGATGTAATTCACTGCTCATTGGGAGATATAGGACCAAGATATCCACCGATAAAGTCAAGCCACGACAGAAGCACGCAATGAGTGGTGGGCAGATACTTACGATACATGGTTGTATTTAAACAAGGTTAAATGAAGTCATAGGGATTTATTTTGATTGATTGACTATGTAACGGGGTTGCACGAAATTATGGTACTTTGTACCAGAGGTGTTACACACCTGAGGTTGCCCCTTTGTGAAGGTGATATAGAATATCTTATTGGTTTGTAGGGGCTGACGAGTGTCAGCCATTAGGTACGAAAGATCTTTGAGTAGGATTAAGATATTCTATAAGCGTTAACAAAAAAAATCATTTCCCATTTTGATCTAAAAGACACGTGGCTTGCGAGCCGTCTTGATCGTTGATCACTGATCACTAAGAGCTAGCAACTCCTCCTTGAGGTAGCTACTCTTGAGCACTGAGTGCTGTCGATTCACTGAATCGTTAGGTTAAACTGGAACAGGGATCTGAAGCTGTAAAGCTTGTTGACTCGTTAAGTCGTTAGTTCTTTGGAACTGAGTTGCTCGTAGAGTGTTAAGTCTTCCTCTGACTTAAGGAGCTGTGTAGCTCCGCTACACTTGGTAGCACTCGTTGTAACAGGGGACCCTGAAGCTTGTACTGTCACCAGTACAAGCTACTTATTCTGATGACAGAATAAGGCGGTGCCTCGGAACTTCACGTTCACTCGTACGTGCAGAGGAAGACGGTAAGAAGAAGCGAGTACTTGGTTAACGTAAAAAGTAGAACTGTATTTATAGTAGTTAATGTCTGCAATAAATCACTATTCATCTTCATCTAACTATGTCTGAATACAAATGTGTAAATCAGTTATCTCCTCACCACTCATTGCGTGCGTCTGTCGTGGCGCGTCTTCGTTGGTTGATATAATGGCCTATATCAACCAATTAGGAACTACTCGTAAGTGCTACAGAATATTGTCCTTATGACAACATTCTGAGAGTATAACTCTTATAGTTATATTCTATTAACAATTTCTTATAAATTGTTATGTAACTATTCACCCCGTTACATCACCCCCCCCTTTAACCATCAGTCACTTTAGTGACTGATTGACTAAATGGATACTCGTCCCAAATCATTTGGGACAGGGTTTGCACTCGTTGGTCCGCGTCCACTTTCCAACATCTCATCGCATGGTTAACAAGCCCATGCGATGCGCGAGCAAGGCCGCCGAGAGCGCGTCCGCAAGTCTCTGTGCGGACGCCGAAGCAGAAACTACAGCAACTGATGTCTCATCGGTTGCTGAAGCGACCCAGCCTGTGTCACTTGGTGATGCAGGCGCTGGTCATGAAGACACTCGTGTCTTCACAGAGTACGAGCTCGGTGTCTCGTACTCTCCTGATACGGATGACGGATCCGTATCGACGGCGATTGAATCTAAGCCGCCTGCCAAGCGTACCATGGACGATGCTTTGCGTCGCAGCATCTTTGGTTCATCTGATGAATCAGATGAACCATCGCCGAAGCGAAGGCGCTCGAGGTCGCGAGACTCGGGCGCTAATAGTGGTGTCGGTTCTCCTGTTGACACCGCTTCACAGCGAGGTGCCAGTCCTTCTGTCGGCACGTCACAGGAAGAGCGGGACCGCAATGTGTAGCGTCTCGCTCCTGAAAAGAAGGCATGGATGTCTCCTAAATCCGTCATGGATCACTTGTCGGCGACGACGAGTGATCGTTATCGAACACGATTGTTCGATTCGTCAAGGATCCATCACCTTGACCCCAGCGCGAAAGACTATCGCGCTGAACATGAGTTCTTCATCGATGCTTTCTTCAGACATCGATGGTACAGTGGGAATCACAAACGTGATGGTCCCTCACTACTTCAGGCGTGGAACGCCTACATCCATAATCTCGAGGATGTAGGTCGTGACGCTTGGAACGACAAACTTATCAAAGCTCGTGTAAGTTTGAAAAGCGAACCCCGACAGGTGCACGCTATAAGCTGCATCGTCTGTCAAGGGAGAAAGGATTACCCTGCCTCTCTTGGGGAGACTCGTGCCCATGTTGTGTGAACAACTCTGCACGAGAACCCAAGGAGGCTTACCTCCTTACCAGCCCGTGGTGGCGCGTACGTGTCTTTACTGAGATGTACGAAGGGATTTACAACCTGAAATCCCTTTACGATTGAGCCAAAAAGATTTTCTCCAGCGATCCTTCTGCGGCACAGGATGTGCCGCATCGTACTGCTCAACCAGACCCAGTACGTCGATCATCAGTTGGGAGCGGGGCTCCCAAGAATCCCAGGACGGGGGATAGCCGCGCCACCGGACGAGATAACTCGTCCGACGTCCGTTCACGTCGCGGTGGTTCAACAGCTGCTCAACTAGATAGCGCTGGCCACCGCAAGAGCCCTCTAATGGAGGTGGAGGAGGAGGAAAGACGCTCTTCACACGATCATGTGGATCGGTGTGTTCCCGAGAGCTTCTTTGATCGCGTAGCGCAAGGGTTACGCGACGATCTCGAACATGAGCGAAATAGGCGTCTCCAAATGGCGGACACTGCCTTGAAGCATCGAGCTGAGTTTGCCTTTGCTCAGCTTGAGAACGAGAGATCTCTGACATCTCTTCGTGACGAGCTAAGGGTAGATCGTGGGATTGCTGATCGGTCTCGGGATGAGATAGCTGCTCTTCAGACCCTTGTTGATGCCCACCATCGGGAGCACAAGGCTCTCTGTGAGATGCTTGAGCGCAAGGGCGTTCTTCATCGGAAGAAGCAGCGTACTGATGGTACGGCTTAAGCCGACCAACGTAAAACGTGGGATGCGTTTGCATCTTACGTGGTAACTCGATCGTGTATGCATTGCCTAGGCGGTGCAATACACGAAATGAGCCGATGTACTTGGGTAGTAGTTTACTGCTACCCAAGTTAGTCACTACATGCTTTGGTAGATTAACCGTAGACAGTAGGACTAAGTCACCTTTATTAAATAAAAGAGTGTTTGCCCTTCCATTCCTGTCAGCGTTTTGCTTTTGCTTATCCACCGCTTCGGCGATGGAGTCTTGCACAAAACGGACTCGTTTCACGAGCCAGTATGAACTCATCCTGATGACTCGTTAGCTTCAGTGCGCTGTGAGCGCACTGCGGTAACATCAACCTTTTCTTCAGTGAGGGCTTCCGCACTTTCACTGGGATCATCTTCTTCAGTGAGGGCTTACGCACTCTCACTGGCATCATCTTCTTCGATATCGATGTTATCGATATCAGCATCAAACGCAATGACCTCATCGTCACAGCGTGATGAGCGTGAACCAAATCGGTTTTTGCTCGCGCGAGTCCCTCCCCCCCTTAAACCAGAGTTACACTCTAGTAAGGTGGGTACACGCGGATGGCGCAAGCCATTCACGTAAAACGGTGTATGTGTCGTGGACGCATGCACCGAGTTGTTGATGGCAAACTCTACCATTGGCAAAAACTCACTCCAACTATTAAAGGGTGTGTACGTATCCTCGAAGCATCTCTTCAAGGACACGATTGGCACGTTACTTCTGACCATTTGACTCTGGATGATCAGATGTTGACATCTTCAAGCGCGTTCCGAGTGATTTGAACACGGAACGCCAGAAATCAGCAGTGAATCGTGGATCCCTGTCTGATACGAGTTCACGGGGCAACCCATGAAGTCGGAAGATGGTGTCAATAAAGACACAAGCACAGCCACTTGCCGTGATTGTCTCTGGTACAGCCACAAGGTGTACCATTTTGCTGAATCTGTCAACAAATACGAGAATACCCGTATTCCCGCGTGCGTCTTTGGGTAACCCGAAGACGAAATCCACTGAGCTGGATTCCCAGCACTCTGCCGGAACCTGTAGAGGCTGTAAAGGTGCACGCAGTGAAGGACTTGACTTCACTCGTTGGCAGATTTCGCATGCGCGAACATACTTTCGCACAAACTGATACTGGCGGGGCCAGTAAAAGTCTCGACTCACCGTGAGATATGTTTTCTCTCGGCCACGATGTCCTCCTATAGGAGCATCGCGATACTCGAACATGATCCGCAAACGCAGATCAGTATCATCTGGAATGACAACACGTGGTGTGTCACCAGAAACGGCTGTATAATACAGTAAACCGTTGCGAGCAGATCGATACGCAGACGACAATCGTTTCAACGATTCTCGAGATGTTGGGAGAGATGTGTCAACAACTTCACTATCTCACCATCTTGGGCGTATGCCCCACCTCACATCATCATACAACGTTGTAGATGGGACTGAGGACGTCATAACCGCAACAGTGACTGTCTCACTGTTGGATTTCGCGACTGTTTCAAAGTCGGGACGACGTGAGAGTGCATCAGCGACGACATTACATCGTCCTGATTTGTACTCTACCGTAAAGTTGTGTTCTGCAAAGAATGACAACCACCGCGCCATTCGTTGTGAAAGGTGCGGGCTGTTCACTGCCGTGCGTAATGACGCATGGTCAGTGTAAACAATGAAGGGTCTATCTCCTAATAGATAGACTCTGAACTTCGCGAGTGCATACTTCATGGCAAGGAGTTCCTTGTCATGCACTGGATAGTTCCGCTCAGCTGATTGCAGCTGACGCGACTGATAGCAGACGACGCGTTCAACGCCTTCAAGATCGTACTGCATTAGTGCACAGCCGATTGCGAAATCGCTGGCATCACAGACCACATGAAATGGCCTGTCCTGATCGGCTATTGCTAGGACTGGGGATTGTATCAAGCTCTGCTTGATACCCTCAAAGGAGCGTTGACATTCAGCGTTCCATAACCACCTCTCGTTCTTTTTCAACAAACGAGAGAGATGTACAGTCATCTCGGCGTAATTGCGTGAATACTTATGCAATTACGCCGCTAGCTCAAGGAATTTTCGAAGACCTTTGACATCGACCGGCACCGGCCAGTCGGTGATCGCCTTGATCTTTTTGGGATCAGGACGTACACCGTTCTTACCAACGATGCAACCAAGAAGTGGTATTTCGCTTGCGGCAAAGATACACTTCTTGAGGTTTGCATACAATTGATGCTTTTTCATGATTGTAAGAACCTGTCGGACGTGGTACCTGTGAACCTCAACGTCCGACTTCCCATCCATAGCTCGACTATGGATGAATACTTCATCGGAAATAACTCGGCGCGAATTCTCGTACTGGTCTCAACAGATATGATACACATCTGTTGAACGTGGCAGGGGCATTACTAAGCCCTTGTGGCATTACTAGCCATTCCCAGAGCATGCCGCTAGGCGTGCTAACTGCGGTATAAGGTATATCCCGTTCCCGCATAAGGATTTGATAGAAGCCATCCATCAAATCCATGGACGAAAAGATGGTACTCTTTGACATACCATCAATGATTACGTCCTTCCTCGGTATCGGCGTCTGAGCCGGTACCGTTGCAGCGTTCAATTTGTTGAACGCGTGCACTATCCGCCACCCTCCTGTTGCTTTTCGAACACAGAAGGTCGGAGAGCTATGTGGGGAAGTTAATTCCCTCACATGGCCCGCAGCTAAACGATCGGCAAAGAACTTGTCGATCGCAAGTACTTGTTCACGAGGCAGTGGCCACTGCTTCATGACACAGTACTTCGAGCCTGGTTTAAGCTCGACCTCGTGTCGAATACCTTTATCCTTCAGTAATTCGCACGGAACAGTGTCAGGGAATGCATCCTTGAATTCAACCAACTCTTCATAGAGAGATTTTTCTTGAGCGATTCCCATGATTGGGAGTCATATCGCTCAATTCGTGTCTTTTCATCTAGGACACTCTCGTCCATAGATGAACTACTGAGAACTCTCTCGTTCTCAGTGAACACTGTTGCTGACCTTATGTCGCTTACACACTCGTCGTCAGCGACGAGCATGCAGATCTGCTTGACTTTGCCACTACGCAGATCACGCAAGAACCTTTTATGTTCGAGCATTGGCAACTGAGTGATCTCCGAAGTCAACTTCGGAGGCGCAATCAGATCAAGTGTATAAGCGCCTACAATTGATCCGTCATTGACTAGGACATTCAATGTCTCCGTCATTTCCTGGGGACTTATTTCCTCAGGCCTCGAAGGACTTATTTCTTCGGCTTCCCGGGGACTTATTCCCGCGGGTTTCGGAAAACTTATTTCCGCCTTATTTGTAATCTTGGGACTTATTCCCTTAACTATCTCTAGCTGGGGTTGCGCAACCACAACGAGATCCTCTACGAAAGACTCTCCAGTCGATCCAGGATTATCGTTTTGCTTAACCTAAGCGATCGATTGTTTCTCTTCCAGATGTTCCCCGCCAGGGGAACATCTTTGTCCCAGTCCACTCGACTTATTCGAGTGGTGGACATTTCGGCGCAGCCTGTGTTTCCTCACAGCCGCCGGAACTTTGCTTTGAAGTGTAAACGTTTGTTACACAAAGGTTTTGTGCAGTCGTAATAACGACCGTACCACAAGTGAGGCCATCGCACTCACTCGTAGTACATCCACACGCTTGTGGACGCTCCAAAACGTTCATCAGATGGCCATCTGATGAACAAGCGGCTAGGCATCGTTACTGTTCGATGTTGCAAGTTTACCCGTGATTCGTACCTTCTGAGCCACGGCATTCCAAGGATGACATCAAATTTGTCATCCAAATCCAATACGATAAAGTCATCGTCATGTTGGGTATCTTCTAGCGTATAGTGGATCTTTACTATACGCTTCATGACGGTTACGAATGCGCCTGTCGCAAGACGTAAAAGCAGCTTACGTAGAAGGGAGAAAGGATGTGCCGCATCGTACTGCTCAACCAGACCCAGTACGTCGATCATACGAAGGGATTTACAACCTGAAATCCCTTTACGATTGAGCCCAAAGAGAGTTTTTTCTCCAGCGATCCTTCTGCGGCACAGGATGTGCCTGCATCGTACTGCTCAACCAGACCCAGTACGTCGACATCAGTTGACGGGGATCATCAGTTGGGAGCCGGGCAAGAATCCCAGAACGGGGGTAGCCGCGCCACCGGACGAGATAACTCGTCCGACGTCCGTTCACGTCGCGGTGGTTCAACAGCTGCTCAACTAGATAGCGCTGGCCACCGCAAGAGCCCTCTAATGGAGGTGGAGGAGGAGGAAAGACGCTCTTCACACGATCATGTGGATCGGTGTGTTCCCGAGAGCTTCTTTGATCGCGTAGCGCAAGGGTTACGCGACGATCTCGAACATGAGCGAAATAGGCGTCTCCAAATGGCGGACACTGCCTTGAAGCATCGAGCTGAGTTTGCCTTTGCTCAGCTTGAGAACGAGAGATCTCTGACATCTCTTCGTGACGAGCTAAGGGTAGATCGTGGGATTGCTGATCGGTCTCGGGATGAGATAGCTGCTCTTCAGACCCTTGTTGATGCCCACCATCGGGAGCACAAGGCTCTCTGTGAGATGCTTGAGCGCAAGGGCGTTCTTCATCGGAAGAAGCAGCGTACTGATGGTACGGCTTAAGCCGACCAACGTAAAACGTGGGATGCGTTTGCATCTTACGTGGTAACTCGATCGTGTATGCATTGCCTAGGCGGTGCAATACACGAAATGGGCCGATGTACTTGGGTAGTAGTTTACTGCTACCCAAGTTAGTCACTACATGCTTTGGTAGATTAACCGTAGACAGTAGGACTAAGTCACCTTTATTAAATAAAAGAGTGTTTGCCCTTCCATTCCTGTCAGCGTTTTGCTTTTGCTTATCCACCGCTTCGGCGATGGAGTCTTGCACAAAACGGACCGTTTCACGAGCCAGTATGAACTCATCTGATGACTCGTTAGCTTCAGTGCGCTGTGAGCGCACTGCGGTAACATCAACCTTTTCTTCAGTGAGGGCTTCCGCACTTTCACTGGGATCATCTTCTTCAGTGAGGGCTTACGCACTCTCACTGGCATCATCTTCTTCGATATCGATGTTATCGATATCAGCATCAAACGCAATGACCTCATCGTCACAGCGTGATGAGCGTGAACCAAATCGGTTTTTGCTCGCGCGAGTCCCTCCCCCCCTTAAACCAGAGTTACACTCTAGTAAGGTGGGTACACGCGGATGGCGCAAGCCATTCACGTAAAACGGTGTATGTGTCGTGGACGCATGCACCGAGTTGTTGATGGCAAACTCTACCATTGGCAAAAACTCACTCCAACTATTAAAGGAGTGTACGTATCCTCGAAGCATCTCTTCAAGGACACGATTGGCACGTTACTTCTGACCATTTGACTCTGGATGATCAGATGTTGACATCTTCAAGCGCGTTCCGAGTGATTTGAACACGGAACGCCAGAAATCAGCAGTGAATCGTGGATCCCTGTCTGATACGAGTTCACGGGGCAACCCATGAAGTCGGAAGATGGTGTCAATAAAGACACAAGCACAGCCACTTGCCGTGATTGTCTCTGGTACAGCCACAAGGTGTACCATTTTGCTGAATCTGTCAACAAATACGAGAATACCCGTATTCCCGCGTGCGTCTTTGGGTAACCCGAAGACGAAATCCACTGAGCTGGATTCCCAGCACTCTGCCGGAACCTGTAGAGGCTGTAAAGGTGCACGCAGTGAAGGACTTGACTTCACTCGTTGGCAGATTTCGCATGCGCGAACATACTTTCGCACAAACTGATACTGGCGGGGCCAGTAAAAGTCTCGACTCACCGTGAGATATGTTTTCTCTCGGCCACGATGTCCTCCTATAGGAGCATCGCGATACTCGAACATGATCCGCAAACGCAGATCAGTATCATCTGGAATGACAACACGTGGTGTGTCACCAGAAACGGCTGTATAATACAGTAAACCGTTGCGAGCAGATCGATACGCAGACGACAATCGTTTCAACGATTCTCGAGATGTTGGGAGAGATGTGTCAACAACTTCACTATCTCACCATCTTGGGCGTATGCCCACCTCACATCATCATACAACGTTGTAGATGGGACTGAGGACGTCATAACCGCAACAGTGACTGTCTCACTGTTGGATTTCGCGACTGTTTCAAAGTCGGGACGACGTGAGAGTGCATCAGCGACGACATTACATCGTCCTGATTTGTACTCTACCGTAAAGTTGTGTTCTGCAAAGAATGACAACCACCGCGCCATTCGTTGTGAAAGGTGCGGGCTGTTCACTGCCGTGCGTAATGACGCATGGTCAGTGTAAACAATGAAGGGTCTATCTCCTAATAGATAGACTCTGAACTTCGCGAGTGCATACTTCATGGCAAGGAGTTCCTTGTCATGCACTGGATAGTTCCGCTCAGCTGATTGCAGCTGACGCGACTGATAGCAGACGACGCGTTCAACGCCTTCAAGATCGTACTGCATTAGTGCACAGCCGATTGCGAAATCGCTGGCATCACAGACCACATGAAATGGCCTGTCCTGATCGGCTATTGCTAGGACTGGGGATTGTATCAAGCTCTGCTTGATACCCTCAAAGGAGCGTTGACATTCAGCGTTCCATAACCACCTCTCGTTCTTTTTCAACAAACGAGAGAGATGTACAGTCATCTCGGCGTAATTGCGTGAATACTTATGCAATTACGCCGCTAGCGCAAGGAATTTTCGAAGACCTTTGACATCGACCGGCACCGGCCAGTCGGTGATCGCCTTGATCTTTTTGGGATCAGGACGTACACCGTTCTTACCAACGATGCAACCAAGAAGTGGTATTTCGCTTGCGGCAAAGATACACTTCTTGAGGTTTGCATACAATTGATGCTTTTTCATGATTGTAAGAACCTGTCGGACGTGGTACCTGTGAACCTCAACGTCCGACTTCCCATCCATAGCTCGACTATGGATGAATACTTCATCGAAATAACTCGGCGCGAATTCTCGTACTGGTCTCAACAGATATGATACACATCTGTTGAACGTGGCAGGGGCATTACTAAGCCCTTGTGGCATTACTAGCCATTCCCAGAGCATGCCGCTAGGCGTGCTAACTGCGGTATAAGGTATATCCCGTTCCCGCATAAGGATTTGATAGAAGCCATCCATCAAATCCATGGACGAAAAGATGGTACTCTTTGACATACCATCAATGATTACGTCCTTCCTCGGTATCGGCGTCTGAGCCGGTACCGTTGCAGCGTTCAATTTGTTGAACGCGTGCACTATCCGCCACCCTCCTGTTGCTTTTCGAACACAGAAGGTCGGAGAGCTATGTGGGGAAGTTAATTCCCTCACATGGCCCGCAGCTAAACGATCGGCAAAGAACTTGTCGATCGCAAGTACTTGTTCACGAGGCAGTGGCCACTGCTTCATGACACAGTACTTCGAGCCTGGTTTAAGCTCGACCTCGTGTCGAATACCTTTATCCTTCAGTAATTCGCACGGAACAGTGTCAGGGAATGCATCCTTGAATTCAACCAACTCTTCATAGAGAGGATTTTTCTTGAGCGATTCCCATGATTGGGAGTCATATCGCTCAATTCGTGTCTTTTCATCTAGGACACTCTCGTCCATAGATGAACTACTGAGAACTCTCTCGTTCTCAGTGAACACTGTTGCTGACCTTATGTCGCTTACACACTCGTCGTCAGCGACGAGCATGCAGATCTGCTTGACTTTGCCACTACGCAGATCACGCAAGAACCTTTTATGTTCGAGCATTGGCAACTGAGTGATCTCCGAAGTCAACTTCGGAGGCGCAATCAGATCAAGTGTATAAGCGCCTACAATTGATCCGTCATTGACTAGGACATTCAATGTCTCCGTCATTTCCTGGGGACTTATTTCCTCAGGCCTCGAAGGACTTATTTCTTCGGCTTCCCGGGGACTTATTCCCGCGGGTTTCGGAAAACTTATTTCCGCCTTATTTGTAATCTTGGGACTTATTCCCTTAACTATCTCTAGCTGGGGTTGCGCAACCACAACGAGATCCTCTACGAAAGACTCTCCAGTCGATCCAGGATTATCGTTTTGCTTAACCTAAGCGATCGATTGTTTCTCTTCCAGATGTTCCCCGCCAGGGGTACATCTTTGTCCCGGTCCACTCGACTTATTCGAGTGGTGGACATTCGGCGCAGCCTGTGTTTCCTCACAGCCGCCGGAACTTTGCTTTGAAGTGTAAACGTTTGTTACACAAAGGTTTTGTGCAGTCGTAATAACGACCGTACCACAAGTGAGGCCATCGCACTCACTCGTAGTACATCCACACGCTTGTGGACGCTCCAAAACGTTCATCAGATGGCCATCTGATGAACAAGCGGCAGGCATCGTTACTGTTCGATGTTGCAAGTTTACCCGTGATTCGTACCTTCTGAGCCACGGCATTCCAAGGATGACATCAAATTTGTCATCCAAATCCAATACGATAAAGTCATCGTCATGTTGGGTATCTTCTAGCGTATAGTGGATCTTTACTATACGCTTCATGACGGTTACGAATGCGCCTGTCGCAAGACGTACCGTCATCCTCATAGGAGGTGTGTCACATTCACCAAACTTACAGTGACCATCTTCTAGCGATTGGCGTCGCACAAAATTGTTGGACGCCCCACAATCGACTAGAGCTCGAAGGGACAACTTATTTGTCACTTCGAGTTTCAAGGTAATGAGTGAGACCTCATTACCTAGAGCAGCAACGCACAACGTTTGTGTGTTGGGAGCAACCTTCATCAAGAGGCCTACAAATTCTCTTGACGTTGCTAGACCAGTAGGGTGCTCCGCACCTACTGATCCTGTCCGTTTTTTGACGGTCCATCCCGTTGTTGCGTCTTTGCACCAACTGCGGACCCTCGTCCCTGCCCCTTTCTCATGGGTGGTAGGTCACTACGCCCAGTGTCGCGAGACACTGGACGAGGGGCACTACACTCGTAAGCGTAGTGTCCTGTCTTTTGACATCTGTTGCATCTCTGCAACTTCTTGTAGCCTGTAGAGCGAGCCTTCTCGCTCTCTACATAACAGACTTCCATCGGCTCTGGACTTCCGCTGTCATATCGTCTCGGTTGACGATATGATGTCGAGCTGGCGCGAGCCTGTCTCAGACTGAAGTCTTCCTGTTCCGCAAGGGAATGGATTGTTATAGTGAATCTAGTTCAAGCCGGAACAGGTGAGTCTTGACGGGACCATCCGCAAGACCCTGCAAGAACACCGAAACCAACGTGTGTTCATCCACCGGATTGGAACTTATACAACTCGTGAGATGTCGTATATGTTGCGCGTAAGCGTGCACATCACGCTTACCTTGTCTGAGCTTCAAGAGTTCAGTTCGAGCCCTGAACTCAGCTCTAGGCGGTTCAAACGTTTGTCTGAGCCGCGACTTGAAGCCTTCCAACGACCCAAACGCATATGGGTCGTGCGACTTGATCCCCAGTGCCCAAGTCTTGGCACGTCCTGCCAGATTTGACTGGGCAAATGCAACTTGCATATCCCCGTCGTCGATGCGACGCGCCCTTATGGCGTCATCCAATTCGACGAACCATCTCAAGAGGGAGTCTTCTTCGACCCTCCTATACTTGGAGATGTCAATCTTCAAGGTCTCGGGTCGACGCGAGTGCATCGACCCACCAGCAGCAGCCTGCTGCTGTCTCAACAACTCTGCTTGTTGAGAACCTTGTTGGTGAAGCAAGGCTACTTTCTCGCATTCAGCGTCAAGTTCATTTTGAATGAACTTGGCGATAGTTGCATGTTGGGCATCTCTATTGAGAGCCTCTAGCATGACGCTAACAGCATGGGTGCCTTTGGTCGAACCCATCCGTTCAACCGCATCCCATTCAACATTGCTCAAATGGGAGTAGCCGTCACGCGTAGCGTGAAAGCTTTGGTCATCTTCATCATCCAACATATTCATGTTGGATGTGAACGTGGTCCTTGGACGGACTACGAAGTGCTACCAGGTGTAACAGGACACCCTGAAGCTTGTACTGGTGACAGTACAAGCCACTTATTCTGATGACAGAATAAGGCGGTGCCTCGTAACTTCACGTACACTCGTACGTGCAGAAGAAGACGGTAAGAAGGAGCGAGTACTTGGTTAAAGTAAAAAGTAGAACTGTATTTATAGTAGTTAATGTCTGCAATAAATCACTATTCATCTTCATCTAACTATGTCTGAATACAAATGTGTAAATCAGTTATCTCCTCACCACTCATTGCGTGCGTCTGTCGTGGCGCGTCTTCGTTGGTTGATATAATGGCCTATATCAACCAATTAGGAACTACTCGTAAGTGCTACAAAATATTTGTCCTTATGACAATATTCTGAGAATATAACTCTTATAGTTATATTCTATTAACAATTTCTTATAAGTTGCTATGTAACGATTCACCCCGTTACACTCGTAGTCAATCTACGCCTGAGTCTTTAAGACTGATCCTCTGTGAGGACGGAAAACTCCACTCCCCTATCTGAGGCCCAAAAGGTCGCGCTTGATAAGCTGACCGCATCTTTGGGTCCAGAGTACGTGGAGTTCCTTGTTTCACAAGGTCCTGAAGTGCTTAATGCACGTGTTAAAAGCTTCATACAGTATGAAGCGACCCTTTTAGGGCAGGTCCAAGACCAAATAGCGTCGGCTATGCCTACACGCTACGTGTCTGTACCAGACGAAGAATCTAAGCCTCGTCCACTTAGAGTGGAAGTGAAGAACTACTCCGGTAAGGAGGGTGAGGACCTCATCCTCTGGATCTGTGAGATTGAGATGGCCATGAGATCAGGCCTGATCACGCTTGACCATCAACAGGTCTCGCTGGCTATCTCGAAGCTCGATGGTAGAGCTAGAGAATGGGCCTTGACGTGTTGCACGTCGGTGGACATAGCGTTTCCCACAGGGGAGTCGCTCAAGTCACAATTGGTACAGGTGTTCTCACCACCTAACCAGGCTTACCGCGTGCATTCACGCTTTCTTTCTACCCGCCAGGGTAAGAATGAACTATCGGACTACGTTTAAGAGCTGCGGACGCTCATGGCTGCAATGCAGTCTGACCCTCTGCCTGAAGCAGTCCATTTGACTATCTTCATGGAAGGTCTACGTACTCACATTGCCAGAACCGAAGTTTTTCGGGTTCACCCCTCTACGTTTGAAGAGGCTGTGAGAATTACTCTTAATGCTGAGCATAACTTCAAGTCGGCCAGGCTTGGTTGGAATGGGTACAACCTTCGCTCTGTGAGAGCAAACTATTCGGGTACCACTGCCTAGAATAGGCCGGAACCGATGGATCTCAGCTATGCTGAAGATGGAGGTAAAGCTGAGCTTCAAGCTGCTGAGCAGAAACACGTTATAAGACGATGCTTTACGTGCGGAAGCACTAAACACTTGCGGCCTGGTTGCCCTTTGCGTAAGCAACGCCAGACTACGAGCCAACACTCGAGCCCGAGTCAGAAGTCTGGCATGGCACGGGGAAATGCCGACACCCAGTTGGCGCGGGGCGCCCTACTGGGGAAGAGCAAGGTTCTGTTACACCTTTAGAAGGTAAAGGAATGCAGGGCTTAGCCTCAAAGAGTACCATACCTACAGGTATGGTGCGTGGATACAAGTATGGCTTGCTGGTCGCCGAGGCGAAAATAAAGGGCTTTGAGAAGCCTTGGTCGATATTGATCGATTCTGGAGCGTCTCGCAATTATGCTCGACGCCGTTCTCTTGAGGGAAGTCAGCGTTATACTGAAGCGCTTACAGCGCATGAGGGTGATTCTATCACGGTTCGTTTAGCGACTGGAAGTCGCGTTACTGTGCCTAAAGTTCCATTGAACTTAGGTATAAAGTTTTTAGACTTTGACAGTATTGAGCGCTGTCTTGTCCTAGATTTGGACTCGAAATTTGATCTCATCCTACGTATGGCTTGGCTTGAGCGCCAAGAGCCGTGGATTGATTGGAGGTCTAAGACCTTAGGCGCTACGCGCAGTGTTCATAGCGAAGCTTTGGAGAGTCATGAACCCACCTTCGCTAGGCAACAGAAGCGCTATTTGGCGCGAGCCTTAGACAAAAGATGTCAATGTGCTGGATATTGGAATGTCCGAGTTATCTAACTTTAATGTTACAAACATAAGTTTCGAGACTAGCTCGTCTGAAACTAGTGAAACGGCACGTACTCCGTTGAGTGTTGCTCGTTGTGATAATGAGTCACTGCATGCTGAAAGCATGGTTGGCTTAGGGCCTAGTGATCAAGGATGTAATTCCTTTGATGTGTGTATGGTGGCACGTGAAACTACACCGAGTGCGGTCGGCCGTGAGAGCACCGCACTGAACGTCGGTAATGACGTTGTTGGCGATTCGCCATACAGTGTGGGCGGCCGTGAGGGCACCACACCTAATGTCGGTAATGGCATTGTTGTCGATACGCTGTATAGTGTGGGCGGCCGTGAGGGCACCACACCTAATGTCAGTAATGATACTGTTGGCGATACGCCGTATAGTGTGGGCGGCCGTGAGGACACCACACCTAATGTCTGTAATGATACTGTTGGCGATACGCTGTATAGTGTGGATGGCCGTGAGGGAGCCACACCTAATGTCTCTAATGACCTTATTGGCGAGACGCCGTTAAATTTGAGGCTAGGCCCGTATAATGCACGTGGAGTGGCACGTTTCAATCCACTATGTGAAGTGTTCGAGTTTTTTATCACTTCACCGGATATCGGTCAAGACAAAAGCTCTCGTATAGAGCGTACTATGTTTGGTAGTAACCATGGGGACAATGTTGTCCCAACCCCTAAGGGGTGTAAGGTCTCGAAGAGACGATCGAGACGCCGGGTGGCAACTTTTAAGCGCCAGGCGTCCTCACAGTCACATAGTGATATTAGTAATACACTATATACACTTGTTAATGGAGTGACTGGTAAGGTCGATGGCAGTGTTTGCCTTGAAACTCTTCCATCTGTGCGCTCTTTGTGAGCTAGACGAAATGTCTGATGGCGAGTTTATCCAGGCCTTGAAGGCAGGAGAGTTATCCGAGTTAGCGGTCAATAGACCTGATACTGGGTTGATATCTTTCTCGTTAATGGATGAGTCTGTACTGGAGGATACAAAGGCGGCACTTAGTGCACGAAGCGGATCTTTGATCCTAAAATGTCCTTTGGATCCGTTCTATCCTTTAGTCGAGGAATTTCAAGATGTGGTGTGTCACAACCCACCTTCTGCCTTACCTCCAGATAGAGGTGTACGTCATGAGATTGACTTGGTTCCTGGAACCAGATACTGTGTAACACGGCAGTGGCCTTTGCCTAAAGAACAGTGCGACGTCATTGACGATTTCTTTCGTGCTAAGCACGCGGCTGGAATGGTTCGTGAGAGTAAATCTCCCCATTCAAAACCGACATTTTGTGTCAAAAAGCCAAATGGCAAGTGGCGTATTGTGCATGCTTACAATAAGCTTAATTCAGCCACTTTACCGGCGCAGACGCCTATTCCTGGAAAGGATGTTCTTCAGAACAATATGGCGGGATGTACACTGTACAGTGCACTCGACTTAGTTGATGGTTATTACCAACTGCTCATGCGAGCAAGAGATATTTCGCTAACAGCGGTGAGTACTCCGAGCGGTATGCTTTGGGAGTGGCTCGTTATGCCGCAAGGGCTATCTAACGCCCCGGCTACATTTAACCGGTTGGTAACGCAACTATTCAGACCTCATCGAGGCTATGCACAAACGAACTTTGATGACATTTTTGTCCATAGTCGTGCAATGAATGGGCGATCAGATGTGGATAACCACATTGATCATTTACGAGCTGTGCTCGAGTGCATGCGAACGAATAAGCTGTACGCGAACGCATCGAAGTGCATCTTTGGTGCAGAAGAGATTCCCTTTCTGGGGGGCTTCATTGGGAAGCGAGGCCTTCGAGCGAACCCTGCTAAGGTGAAAACCATAGTCGACTGGCCGGTTCCCAAGAACCAAAAGGGCTTGCGTAAGTGGCTTGGCCTTGCCAATTACTTACATAAGTACAGTGCAAATTACGCAGATATGGCTCGGCCATTGTCCAATCTCCTTAAAAAGGATGTGGGTTGGTGTTGGGGTAACACCGAACATAATGCTTTTAAAGCAGTTAAGGAGAGTCTCCTTCATGCGCCAATATTGGCTTTGCCCGATTCTGGTCGGCCTTTCAGTGTCGTCTGTGACGCATCTGACTTTGCCATAGGCAGTGCTCTGTTACAAACAGATGTCGACGGACGCGAACGCGTCATCGCATTTGAATCTCGACAGCTGAAAGCTGCTGAAAAGAACCATCCTGTTCATGACAAAGAGCTACTTGCTATGAAGTACGCTCTTGTCAAATTCAGAGTCCATCTGCTTGGCTCGAAGCCATTTGTGATCTATACCGATCATGCGTCATTGCGCACTGCGACACAGTCGCCTCACCTCTCACAGAGAATGGCTCGTTGACTTTCTTTATTTGCCGAATTAACTTCGAGGTGAAGTACAAGCCAGGTAAGCAAAACGCTTTGGCTGATGCGCTATCGCGTCGACCTGACTATGAGCTTGCTCGTGTTACGACCCTGTCGTCGTCAGTCCCTGACATAATTCATGTGGCATATGCCAAGGACGATCAGTGTGTAGCTTTGCTACGTGCTCTTGGGAGCAATGAGTTTAAAGACTCGGACATAGAATTGTCGGCACGTTTACGTGCGAGGCTACATCTATATTCCATTGATAATGGCCTGTTGTGCTATCGCACGGATATTGAGGACAACCCTCGTATCGTAGTACCTCATGATGAGGAATTAAAGTATCGGATCCTCTATGAGGCACATGATACTGCTTTGAGTGGTCATCTCGGTCGTGAGAAAACTTATAGCTCGGTGAGCCAAAGTTATTGGTGGCCCAAACTTTATAAGTGGGTGCGCACCTATGTGCGTA